TAATGAACATTTACAGAGATTTGGATTTCCATTCATTCATTGTTGCACTTTTGTTCTTGCGTACCCCTCCTGCCCAGTGCCACATTCTTCTTTATAGAGTTCAACTTCTCAAATAATTTGCTCATCAAAAAGATTGATATGGGCTACAGTCTTTGCAATTACATGCTATGCATCAGAGAGTTGGACAGTGATTAGGGATAATAGAAAGAGAATTGATGCCTTTGAGCTGTGGTGCTGGAGAAGAGTGTTGAATATACCATGCACTGCTAGGAGAACAAACAGGTTTTTGCTGGAGAGGGTGAAGCCAGAATGCTCCTTGGAGTCAAGGATTCTGAAGCTTCGTCTGACATACTTTGGGCATGTTGCAAGGAGGGACCGGTCCTTGGAGAGGGATGTCATGTTTGGGAGAGGGGAGGGACAGCACAAGAAAGGAATTTCCTGGATGAAATGGATCGATTCTGCGGTTGGAGTGATGGGAGTGAGGGTGCCAGAGATGGTGAGATTGGCACAGGATAGAGCAGGATTTAGGGCTCTTGCCCATAGGGTCACTATGACTCACAAGCGACTTGACGGCTCATAACAACAACAGTAATACAGATTGGATAGGTATGGACAGAGGTAACAACCCTGATACACATTTTTCTTAATTTTAAACCATATAGTGGCTGACTTCAAGAAGAATGGGAATCCCCGATTCTTGATTGTGCTTATGCTAAACTTATACTTGGACCAGGAGGCAGTTGTCAGAACAGAGCAAGGAAACACTGCATGGTTCAAAATGGGGAAGGGTCTGCATCAAGGATGTGTCCTATCTCCATATCTTTTCAATCCATATGCAGGATAGATTATCCAGGAGGCTGGGCTCTATGATGAGAAGCGTGGCATCAGGAATAGAGGAAGACTCATCAACAACATGTATTAGGCAGATGATACAAACAACCTTGCTTGCTGAAACAGAGGAGGACCTGAAGAATTTGCTGCAGAAGGTCAAGGATTGCAGCCTTTAATATGGACTGAAACTCAATGTCAAGAAAACAAAGATTCTCACCACTGGGCTGATTGGCAGCATCATGATAAATGGTGAAGAGATTGAGATTGTTGACAGCTTCAATTTGCTTGGCTCCACAATCAACACTCTTGGTATCAGCAGCCAGGAAATTAAAAGATGAACTGCGAGCTCTGGTGGCCTAGTGGCAAGAAGCTGCAACTGCAACCTCAGAGGTGCATGGTTCAAATCCACCAGATGCTCTGCTGGAGAAGGAGGATCAATCTCTTCCTGTACCAGTCAGATCTGATTTGACGGCACACACAAAAAATAATGAAATAAAATAAATTTTTAAAAAATGAATTGCCTTGGGAAAGTCTATTGTCAGAGACCTGTCCAGGGTACTAAGGAGCAACAATGTCAGTCTGGAGACTAAGGTGAACCTGATACAGGACATAGTCCTTGCCATTACTTGCTATGCATCAGAGAGCTGAGTAATGACTAGGGATGATAGAAGGGAGTTGATGCCTTTGAGCTGTGGTGCTGGAGAAGAGTATTGAATATACCATGGACTTCTAGGAGAACAAACAAGTTTGTCTTGGACATGGTGAACCCAGGCTGCTCCTTGGAGGTAAGGATTCTAAAGCTTCATCTGACATGTTGCCAGGAGGGATCAGTCCATGGAGAGGGACATCATGCTTGGGAGGGTGGAGGGACAGCACAAGAGAAGAAGACCCTGATGAGATGGATTGATTCTGTCACTGGGGTAGTGGGGATAGGTGTGTTAGAGACAATAAGATTGGCAAGAGATAGAGCAGGGTTTAGGGCTGTTGTACCCTATGGTTGCTGTGAGTCACAAGGGACTTGACGGCACATAACAACAAGTGTTACCTTGGAGTTATTTTGGAGTTAGGTGAAGTGGTGGACTCTGTAGGATGGCACTTTTGTTTTGGTTGAGGATCTGTGTGGATTGTGTGGTTGTTTTTCTATTTTTTCTCTATTTGCTCTACTGAAATAACACAGAGTTGCTGCAATGATGGACAACTGGGCCAGAGGTATGTTAAACACCATAATTGGCTACCCATCATGGGCAGTTTTTGTTGGAGCTCCCAGATTGATTCAGGTTTGGAAGTGGGACTGGCATCCACTTCCTAAACTACAAGCCTCTGGAAAGTCTACATACTTGGAGAGATGGTGATAGTTATAGAAAGGCTTCAGGCCTTTGTTCATTTTCTGTTTATATATGTATCCTTCGTACTCAGTCTATATGGTAGACAAATCATTAAAGAAGTAAGACTCTATGAAGAAACATGTGGCATCAGAATAAAAGGGGACTGAAGAAGTAGTGGAATGCTCCCAGATGGGTGCTTGTGGGTGGGGAGAGCCAATGAGAATGCACGATTATGGAGAAATGTGGAATGACAGAGCTCATGGAGTTTGAACCATGCTCTGGTTCTTAAATTTGGTAGGGCCCAAGGGCCTGTTTTTAATTGCTTCTGGTCAAACATTCTTCTAGGTCGTGTAGCCCTGGTCTGTTCACTTGCTATATAAAGGTAACTCGTGTTTGCTGTGAAGCTGAACTGTGACACTGATGTGTCAAATGCGAGAATGGTTACCCATGGTGGACAGCATTTGGTGGGGCTCCCCAATTAAAATAAGCTTGGAAGCAGGAGTGGCATCAACTTCCAAAATAGCTTGCCTCCGGAAACCCTATGAACCTGGAGAGAGGATGAAAGTTATACAAGTGTTCCGTCTTTCATTCTTAGGGTCTCTATGAGTCGCCTACAACTCAACGGCACTTAACAACAACAACAACAGTGTTACCTTGCTCTGTTTGCACTACAGCCTCTTGGTTTAGAAACAGGTCTTGTATGAGTACAATTAACTGTTCTGGGATTCCCATTCTTCTCAATGTTAGCCATAACTTATTATCCAAACAGTCAAATATATGTTGTTGTTGTTGTTGTTATGTGCCATCGAGTCATTTGCGACTCATAGCGACCCTATGTACAACAGCCCTAAACTCTGCTCTGGCCTGTGCCAATCGCACTGTCTCCAACACTCCCATCCCAATTATCCCAGTCACTGAATCAATCCACCTCATAGAGGGCCTTCCTCTCCTGCGCTGTCCCTCCACCCTCCCAAGCATGATGTCCTTCTCCAAGGACTGGTCTCTCCTCACAACATGTCCAAAGTATGTTAGACGGAGTCTCAGAATCCTTGCCTCCAAGGAGCCACCCGGTTTAACCCTTTCCAGGACAAATCTGTTTGTTTCCTAGCAGTCCATGGTATTCTCAATACTCTTCTCCAGCACCACAGCTCAAAGGTATCAATTCTCCTTCTATCCTCTTTGGTCATTGTCCAACTCTCTGATGCATAGCAAGTGATTGCGAAGACCAATAAATAGACATTCTTCTGGTGTTTTCCACTTTCAGCCAGGATCTGTTTGACATCAGCAAGGATATCCTTGGTGCCATGGTCTCTTTTAAATTCAGGTAGAACTTCTAGCAGTTCCCTGTCTATGTACTGTTCTGTTGTTATGTGGTGTGACTTGACGGCACATAACAACAACAACAACAGGTTTGGAACAAGCTCTGGAAGTAGTAGCCACCACCTGTAAGTGGAGGCCAGGAGCTGGGAAGAAGGGCCAACAGAGTCTCTGGAGGTGACAGGCTTGAGGCTGGTGGACACTGGGATCTGGAGTTTGGAAAACGCAGACTTGAGCCTGGACTGTTACTTGCTGGCTGTGTCCATGGGCAAACCACCTTATCTCTCCACCATCTACAGCAACAACAACACAACAGAGTGGATTTCATTTGTCTGCTGCAGGGTCTAAGGATGCTCCAAGTAAACAGAAACTCTTCACGAGTACTGTGAATACCATTTAGTATTTTTATTATTGGGCGTCATCGAGTGGGCTCGGGTTCACAGCAAGCCCACATACACCGGATTGACATCTTGCCTTCTCCTATGCCTTCCTCACAATCTCTGCCTTGCTTAAGCCCACTGTTGCTGTCACTGTGCCAGTCCATCTCTCAGGACTTTGTCTACTTTGTGGACCTTCTGGGTAACCAAACCCTTTTCAAGGACTGGCCGCTCTTGACAACATACTTTCAGAAAAAAGACTCACTGCCATGGAGTCAATTTGAATTCGTAGCCAAGGTTTGCAACACAGAAAAATAATTGATGCCTTTAAGTTGTGGTGCTGAAGAAGAGTCTTGAACATAACATGGACCGCCAAGAAAACAAATAGGTCTCTCTTGGAAAAGGTGAAACCAAGTTTCTCGTTGGCGGCTAGGATTTTGAAGCTCTGTCTCACATACTTTGGGCACATGACCGGGAGGGACTGATCCTTGGAGAAGGACATCATGCTCAGAAGGGTGGAGGGACAGCACAGGAGAGAAAGACCCCGATGAGATGGATTGACACAGTAACTGGGGCAATAGGGGTTGGTGTGTCAGAGACAGTGAGACTGGCTCAGGACAGAGCAAGCTTCAAAGCTACTGTACATAGGGTTGCTGTGGGTCGCAGGCTACTCGATGGCACATAACAACAATAAAATGTGAAGGCTACCCCTCTTTCTCTTGAGCAAGCACTGGTGAGGTGAGTTCCCAATGCCAACCTTTTCACTAGCAGCACAACCTGTGCTCTGAGAGCTAGCACAGGGTATCTTAAATGCTCATAAACATTAGTTTCCTGCCTGCCTGCCTTTTCTTTTACAATAAGATCCTTGGGAAGAGAAAACCTCTTATTTTAGTGCTTTGGCAAGATCTCTGACAGTCCAGAAAAACATTAATACCAACACCACTTAGAATGACACACACACAGAGACATTTCTAAGTCTTTTATGTTTATTGAGTCAAAGCTCACAGTTCTGTCACACTGTGCTCTGTCTCCCCTGATCCCTGAGGGGAGGGGTGTGTGTGTGTGTGTGTGTGTGTGTGTGTGTGTGTGTGCGCGCGCGCGCGTGCGCTTAAACAGGGAATAAATGCCAGCCCTCTTGGATCCCTTGTAGAGTTCCCGGAGCGCGTGGTGCTGGAGCCCCTGCCCCCCTGGCAGCGGGTCGGTGAGAACCTCACCCTGAGATGCCGGGTGGACGAGGGAGCGCCCCGGGCCAACCTCACGGTGGTGCTGCTTCGCGGGGAGGAGGAGCTGCACCGGCAGTCCGCGGAGGGGGAGCCCGCCGAGGTCACGGTCACTGTCACGGTGCCTGCGCGCAGGGAGGACCACGGAGCCAACTTCACCTGCCGGACTGAACTGGACTTACGGAGCCGAGGGCTCGGACTCTTCGAGAACAGTTCGGCCTCCAGGCAACTCCGAACTTTTGGTGAAGTGGTGGGGTACCCATGGAGAGGGTGGACTTAGGAAGTGTAGGGGCGTTATTTTTTGGGGGGAGGAACTCCTGGGGAGAAAGGACCCCTCCTGCAGGAATTGCAGAGGCTTCTGGGAAGAACATGCTTGTGGCTATTGGGATAGGATGTCCTGGGATAAATGTCCATGCCTACAGTCTTTTTTTTTTAAATTATTAATTTCAATGAAAATTTACAGAGACTTTGAATTTCCATCCATTCATTGTTGCACTTTTCTCCCTCCTCACCCCTCCCCGCCAGTACACTCTTCTCTTTGAAAAGTAAAATTCTTTCATTGTTTTACAATCCCTCCCCCCAGGTCCACTCCACTACGCAGCCTTCATTCTAGGCTCCTGTCATGACTATGATACCTAAACACATATCCCTTTTAAACTGTTTTTTCCCTCATCTGTTTCAATGCAGTATATATAATTTATCCCATCTTTCAGAGTCTCCCCCCAACCCTGATATCAGTCTTGTTTTACAACAGTGGCACTATGCAGTATTTGTCCTTTTGTGGCTGAGATACTTCACTCAGCATAATGTCCTCCAGAGTCATCTGTTTTGAATAATATTGCATGAGTTCCCTGCTTTTCAATGCAGTGTAGTATTCCATTGTGTGAATATACCACAGCTTCTCTATCCATTCGTTTGTTGATGGACACTTGGGTTGTTTCCAACTCCTTGCTATTGTGAACAAAGCCGCGATAAACGTGGGTGTGCATATATCTGCTTGGATGTCAGTTATGGTCTCTTTGGGGCATATTCCCGGTAGTGGAATTGCTGGGTCAAATGGTATTTCTTTTTGCAACTTTTTGAGAAAGTGCCACACTGCTTTCCACAGTGGTTGCGCCTACAGTCTTTTGAGAAGGCTGTGACCCAGCTAAGGGATGGTTATGTCCTGGGACGAGGCGGCCGCAGAGCATCCTGGGGAAAAAACTTTCTAGGTGAAGGAATGAAAAAAATGTCCCAGGAAAGAGTGGCAGGCAGTCTGTCCTCTCTGCTCACATCTGACCCCTTTCCTCAGACCTGCCAAAGACCCGCCCGCTCCTCAGAGCCCCCTGGATTTTGGAGGTGGGCAGAGAGTCAAAAGTGGCCTGCTCCCTGGATGGAGTGTTTCCGGTCTGGGAGGCCGAGATGTCCTTGAAGCTGGGGAACCAGACGCTGAATCCCGTGGTCGTGAGGAATGGGGACATGCTCAATGCCACAGCCACGGCCACAGCGCAAGAGGAGCAGGAAGACGCCCAGGTTGCCTGCATCGTGACGTTGGGAGGCGAGAGCCTTGAGGCCCAAAAGACAGTGGCCATGTACAGTAAGACCGGGCAGGGTGGCCAGGAGGGCCCCTATCTAGTCTGGCAGAAGGGCAGACTGGGATTTAATAGATCTGGTCCAGCAATCAAAACCAAAATAATTACACGTGGGCGGGGCCTGAGTGACTCAAGAAGATTCTGAGGTTTTTAATTAGTCAGAGGCTCAGAGGAATGGGCGCACACGACGAGGGGGAGGGGCTGCGGAGCGGGTAGGTGTGGCCTGGAGGGGAGGGATGGGAGGGGGCCAGGTTGCAGGTGTGAGAAGGTTTGGATCAATTCCCCTCTAGGCTTTGTGGAACCCATCCTGAACCTGAGCAGTGCCAGTGCCCGGGAAGGTACCACGGTCACCGTGACTTGCACGGCCGAGACCCCAGTACAAGTTATACTAGAAGGAGTCCCGAACACGGGCCTGGGGCAGTTCGCCCAGCTTCAGCTAAACGCCACTGAGAATGATGACGGACGCAACTTCTCTTGTAAGGCGGTGCTCGAAGTAAGAGGGCACACCTTAGAAAAGAACACAAAAGTCCAGCTGCATGTCCTGTGTGAGTTGGTCACTCTGACCTTTAATCTCTCACCCTGATCTATAACTTGATTCTTCTTTCGCCCCATTGTGCCTCTGATGTCTTTGATCACATGGTGTCCCACACAGATGGCCCTAAGATTGACCGGACCCACTGCCCCCCGTACTTGAAGTGGAAAGAGAAGAGTTTGCAGGTCCTGAAATGCCAGGCCCGGGGCAACCCGGTTCCTAAACTGCAGTGTTTGCAAGAGGTCTCTGGAAGCGTGGTGCCCGTTGGGACCCCATTCTTCGTGAAGCTGACACACAACGGCACCTACCGCTGTGAGGCTGTCAGTTCGCTGGGCAACACTACCCTGGAAGTGGTGATGGATATTCAATGTGAGTTGAGACGAGGTGATGGGTGTTCAGTTGAGGCGAGGTTGTGACTCTAGACGGGCATCCTAGGAGGGGACCAGGGCGCATCTTTAACTCCGCCTCTCTGCACAGATCGGAACGCACAGTCTGTCACTATCGCCATAACGGTGTTAGTGGTCCTCAGCCTGCTGACTCTTGCAGTGGCCTCACTGTGCGTCTTTGGAGTGCAGAAGCGGAGCGGCACCTACCGCGTGGAACAAGGGAGCACCTCGCTGCCCCTTACAACTAGACAGCCAGATGGGCAGTCGGGGGAGGAACCGTCCTGAGCTGCAGTCTTCCGGGATCCCAGGCACCTGGGTAATGGATGGCTGGATCCTCAGCATCCACATCAATAAAACCTTCAAAATTCAGAGTATGTGGCTTGATTCTACCGGCGCCGCCGCAGGGATCTCTCAAAAAGCCCCGCGGGTCCACTAATCCGAAGGAGTCTGAACCTGTGGCGTCTAGGTGGGACTAGAAACGTCAAGAGGGTGGCGGGGCCTTAGCCAATGGGGTGCGAGAATAGGGGAGGAGGCGGGACTTCTGCCCGCCAATCGGTGGGTGCGCCCTGGTTGCCGCTCTATTTCTCTCCACCCCGGCTCGCTGGTCCCAGAAGGCGCCGCGCTTCCCAAGATGGCGGCCGACGTGTCCGTTACTCACCGGCCCCCGCTGAGCCCAAAGGCAGAGGCCGAGACTGAGGCCGGCGATGCTTTGGAGCGTCGGGTGCCGGAGGAAGAACTGCCGCCGCTAGATGCCGAAGAAATCCGCAAACGCCTGGAGCACACCGAGCGCCAGTTCCGTAACCGCCGCAAGATACTGATCCGAGGCCTCCCGGGGGACGTGACCAACCAGGTATTGGGGGGGCTCCGCGTGGGAGCGTGGCGGGAAATAGCCCCGTGCGCGTGCGCGGGAGACTCGAGGGGCCCCCGGCAGCTTCGGCGTGCGGGGGGGGGGGGGCGTCGGCAGGAGAGTCCGAGCGCGGCTTCCACGCGGGGTCGGGAGAAACCAAGCGCTTGATGGAGGGGCCAGCGGGGGAGGAAGAAACCAATCTCGGCCGCGGGGGACGTGGCTAGGGGCGACCATGGGCTGGAGCGAGACTTGAATGATTGAAGGAGGCGGGGAGGGGATGGAGGCCGGCAGCCTTGGCCGTACCCGGGGGGAGGACTGTGCTTGGACGGCTCAGCTCGACCCGAACGCGTGGGAATCCGGGCCCCAGTGGTTCCCTGCGCAAGTTAAGCCATTTCCACGGAATGACGGGACAAGGTCCCTAGAAGTTTTAGACAGTCCCTCCCCGCCCCATCATTCATTTTTACCACCCAGAATGTGTCAGCCCGGGGTGGGGGTGGGGGCTCCCTTCCCCTCGATCCTTGGCATTAATTTGAAAAAGGTAGTTTCTTACCACTAGCCCAGAGACCCTCAGGACAAGGGGGGCCCTGTGTTGCTTTGATCTTCCAGCTAGGTGTGTCCTTCCCTCAGGGCCGATCAAAAGCAGGGCTTCTCTTTGCTCTTTGGACCCGGGGAGATGGCATCCAGCTTGCCCGGCCCTGGTATGATAACTACTTAACGCTCCACCTGCAGACACCCACCTGGTACTAATGCCCTCCCATGCCCACTCTGGATAGCGGGTGCCCTGGGGTGTTTAAAACAGCGTGATTCAGGGACAGACACAGAAGCCACTCGGCATGGTCTGGCTTGTTTCCGGAGCCAGCCCTCCTTCCCACTGCTCACCACCTCTCAGCTGGGAACACGCTGTCTCCCAGGATGCACAGTGTGCCTGGCACATGCCTGTCCCAGCACCTTGGCAGGCGCAGCTAGCAGGAGGCGTGTGTGGCCAAGGGGCGTGGGCTTATTAATAAGTACATGATAACAGCCAGGTAACTGTGGGTGGCAGGTAACCGTGGGTGGCACGCCTTCTCTGCTACATGACCTTAGGCAGTTCTCTCCACTGCTCTGTGCCTCTCTTACCTCATCTACAAATGAGCTCGATACCTGAATGGTCAGGTTGTTGGGACCATTTTGCCAGTTGAGATGGGTTCGGTGGTTTTCCAAGGAGTTGAGATTTGGGCTCGAGACCCACTTAACTCGACATAGAGTGGTGTGGGTAAAAGTGGACACAGGCAGGCTCTTTCACGGATCAGCAGCGGTCTTAACAAGTAGCCGCTCTAAGCCTCCGTTTTCTCACTTCTGAACTGGGGGTGATAATTGACCTGCCTTCCTAGCAGCTCTGCATTAAGTACAGTAATGGTGACTGACAGTAGGAGGCATTTCAGAACCGAGTGGCTCTTCCCATCACCCCCTGGTGACTCCCCATCCTTGGCTTTTGTCTTCGCAGGAAGTGCATGATCTGCTCAGCGACTATGAGCTCAAGTACTGTTTTGTGGACAAATACAAAGGGACAGGTTTGTGGGGTTCTCGGTGGGTAAGGGACAGGGGCAGTGGTCCTTGAAGCTGGGAGGGTCCTGGCCTTGTTTTTCCCTCCGGAGTTCTCGGCCCACCCTGACACCAGTACACAGACACACGTACACTCCTGCAGCAGGGTGCCCCAGTCAGCCCCTCATCCTGGGTACCCGTCTCAGGGCAGCTTGGCTGTTCCCCTTTCAGATGCCCAGGCCCTAGGCTCACTCCCTCTAACACCTCTCCGTGCCTGCACCCAGGATTGGCTAGTCTTCTCCAGAATAACCTGGTACCCCTCGGTCTCCATGATTTTCTTCCTCCACCTACTCGTCCTCCTCCAGGCAGCCAGCTCCAGCCAGATTGCAAATCTGATCAAACCTGAGCTTAACTCTGAGCTTCCTCCCCTCTGTCTGGTGCTCCTCCTGGCACTGCTTTGCCGTAGCCTCAGTAGCTCTCCACGGTGCCTGCGAGGTTCTAGTCGCTTCCTTGTGCCGCTGAAGTTATCTGTCCTCTTCTCCATCCATGCTGCAGCCGGGCAGGGTCAGGCCTTCTCCCCCTTACCGTGGGTGCCCCCTTGCAGCGTAACCGCCACACACCACTCTTGTTGCTAACTCATCTTCCATCTATACTGTGGTCCAGCTCTTGGGATCCGAAGCCAGTCTTACCAGCCTTGTCCCTCTTCATGGGAAGCCCTTGGTGAGCTGGGGGTGCCCACCTGTGCTGGGAGGGAGGACTCCCAGGGCCTTTGGTTCCATTTAGTTACACGAGTGGAAAGGAACTGAATACAGGAGGTAGACGGAGAGTGTTTAGCTGGTGCCAGGCCCAGGGACAACCTGCGTGCATCCTGGTCTGTCCTTGCTCTGTGACCACAGGCAGGTGACTTACCTTCTCTGAGCCTGTTTTCCCACCAACAAACGGGCCATCCCCATTCCACTTACCAGCTTATTAAGTTTAGTCAAACCTGAAAATGCCCAGAAAGCTGTGGTTCTCTGGCACACGGTAGGTGCCTGGTAAAAGTTAGGTCATGAATGTTTGTTCACTTACGTCTGGGCCGGTGAGTGACAAAGACCACTGTCAACAAAGGTGAACTGGCTATGAGGGCCCCAGTAGCAGAGTGTTGTGGGACCACAGAGAACAGTCGTGTAATCAGGGTAGGAAGCGATGCCTGTGGCCTGGCCCAGGGCAGGAGGGAGTAGGAGTTACCTGGGTGGCGAGGTGGGGGCTCAGTGTCCACACGCAGGAAGCAGCAGGCACAGTCCCGAGGTAGGAGCGAGCCTGGCTTGTCCCGGCCTCTCCACTGGCCAGGGTCGCTGGAGGAACATGATGGGAGCAAAAATCCGAGGCCCTGTGCACTGGACCCTGTCGTGAGGAGCTGCTGGATGGCACAAGCTGATTGTCACTCTAAACAGCCCTGTGTAGCTGCTGTCAGGTGGAAAGCGCCCCTGGTGGGGTGGGGGGAGCAGGGCCATGGCCGAGACTGGCTCCTGGGAGGAGAGGCGTTGAGAGGAGGCGCAGCGCGGTGCCCTGGACGGGGGATTGTGCTGGGCTGTGCGTATAGCACACGATGGGCCTGAGGAACGACCGTGACTGACTGAGTGTCAGTCCTGCTCTGAGTGTATTCCGTTAGAAGCCCCTTTTGACTCAGAGGACTGGCACGACGTTTAAGTCAGAGTCTTGCCAACGGTGAGAATAGAGTGTAGCCAGCCTTGAACCAGGAAGCGTCAACTGGCTTGCCTTTGTGCAGGCTGCTGGTAGCTTCTCTGGTTGGCTCTTACCAGACCCTGATGGTTGGGGAGACAGGGATGGGAGGTGAGCTCCCAGGGCCCCCACTGACCCTGAGACCCCCTCACCGTAGCCTTCGTGACGCTGCTGAATGGGGAGCAGGCCGAGGCGGCCATCAGTGCCTTCCACCAGAGCCACCTGCGGGAGCGGGAGCTGTCGGTGCAGCTGCAGCCCACGGATGCGCTGCTCTGCGTGGCCAACCTGCCTCCGAGCCTCACCCAGCAGCAGTTCGAGGAGCTCGTGCGGCCCTTCGGCAGCCTGGAGCGCTGCTTCCTGGTCTACAGCGAGCGCACCGGCCACTCCAAGGGCTATGGCTTTGCGGAGTACATGAAGAAGGACTCGGCCGCCCGTGCCAAGTCGGACCTGCTGGGCAAGCCAATGGGCCCACGCACCCTCTACGTACACTGGACCGATGCCGGGCAGCTGACGCCCGCCCTGCTCCACTCGCGCTGCCTCTGTGTCGACCACCTGCCACCCGGCTTCAGTGACGTGGACACCCTGCGCAAGGCACTCTCGGCTGTCCATGCACCGACCTTCTGCCAGGTGAGCTCGGTGTGAGGGGTGGTGGGTCACGGGGCATGGTGCAAGGCCCAGAGTACCTGAGGTTGTGTTGGGAGTCACTCACCCGTCCGGGACTTTGGCGGGAAGAGCCGGGTGCCTGGGGTTTGAGTCCGCATGTCAGGCGACAGGCTTAACCGTTAACCCTTGGCCTGTCTCCCCCTACATCCCAGGTGAGGCAGCTCTGTCCGTGGCTGTGAGGCTCACCCAGAGGTGTGTTCATGCCCTTAACAAGCTCTGCCTGGCACCTCTTAGGCCTCCGCCCCTGGCAAGGTGTGGAAGAGGCCACTCTGGAAGTGCCCACACTTGGGAGAGTAGGAAGTCGGGCTTGGGAATCGACGGGTTGGCCTTGGCCACACTCCAGCCCTGCTCCGCCATCCTGGCCAGGCCCTCGGCCTTCCGAGCCTTCATTCCCTTCCCCTTCGCTCCCCAGTGCCTTTCTTCCACACTCCCCAGTTGGATTGGCAAAACAGCCCTATGTTTATTTGAGACACATTGGGGGCTTCCGTGCAAGTGGTTGACATTCCATGCAAATGGTTGATCTCTAACCAAAAGATTGGTGGTTCATGTGCAGTCCAGGCACCCCAGAAAATACCAGAAGGTCTCGTATCTGCTTCTGAAAAACCCACAAATTCCCAGCAAGTGCTGTGGAATACAGTTCTGCCCTGACATGGGCTCAGCATGCGTCAGGGTTGACTTGGGTTGGTCAGTTGGCTTTGTGTGTGTGATGGGGCACCATGGGGTGAGATTGGGCCCATCCGCAGCTGGTCTTGCCTCTGGCCCCCATGGTGGATGCCCTACAGCCTTCACTGTACCAGGCCACCAGGACTTGTCTCATCCTTGTAACCCAGGGAGGCGGCTGTCCCCATTGTCAGATGGCACAGAGGGATCACACAGCCAGGGCACCATAGAGCTGGGCTCAGGAAGCCGCAGCTTGGCCCCAGGGCCGCCCAGAGTGGCCGGGTGCTGGCACAGATTGGACCGTCCAGGGCTTGGGCGCCTGTACCACAGCCTCGTGTGGGTCCCCATCCCTTTGGTGTGTGGAGTGTGGTCCTGGATCAGGAGCCCATCTCTCCTTCCCCAGTTGTCCTTCTGTGCGCCCACCCCCCTCCCCCCGCATAGAGCCCCACACCCTTTCAGGAAGAGCTTGATGGCAGGATCAACAGGCAGGTCCTTTCTCACCATTTGTGTGGGTATGTGGTGACTAGGGTGTCATAGGTGAGTACTCACCTACTCATTTGTGCTGTCACTCGACACCTCCTGGGGAGGTCCTGAGGCTTCCCCTTGCGGGAGAGAGCTTCCGGTCACTCTAGGCATCCTGGGTGGACGAGGAGGGACCTGGGGGTCAGACTGGTGGAGACGTGAACCTTGGTGTCTTGTTGACGGTCTGAGTGGCCTCGGTCACCCTTTGATCTCCTCTAAGACGGGTGTGATTGTCAGAGGACCCAAGGCTGGGCCTGACCACAGGTGGCGCACGCTGACAGGCGCCACTGACCTTGACACTGCAGGCCGAGCCATCTGGCTGATTCTGGTGCGTGGGGATCTGTGGATTGGGTCCAGTGACAAGTTTTTCAGAAGTAGGTGGCTAGGCCTTTTTTACTAGATGTCTCTGAGGGCAGGGCACAAGCCACCAGCCAGATGTTTGCCCATTCACATCACCTGGGGACCACCCACAAGACTTTGGGTGTCAGAGGAGAGCCTCCACCTGGCACAGGAGTCTCAGGGGCCTGCAGATCTGCAGGCCTTTCTCCGAGTGGGCTCTCAATGAGCCCCAAACACCAAGCCTTTGATTAGCGACTGAGTGCTTCAGCCCCTGCTGGGGGACATCTGTGTTGGTCCCACAGCCCACCGAAGCCTGGGATATCCTTCATGACCTGCAGGGGGTATCTGAGGAAGAAGGTATCAGTTCTAAGAGCCATGGCCGCAACAAGGTGGCCGGGTCATCTTGTCCTGTTCTAGTGTCGGCAGGGGACTGCCCCTCCAAGAGCTGACATCTCCTTGTCTGCAAAGTGGGGGTGCCGGCAGGACCTCATCTGTATGGTAGAGAAATAAGGCCAGCTGAGCATGGTGACCCTCCCTTGGCATCCTCCCTCACTGGCTGTGCTCCTCTGGACGTGCCCTCACAGTTTCAGCATCCACATGTCTCCAGACACTTTCCCCTGGGCTTGTGGCAGGTTTCCTGAGCTGATTTGGGCTCCGGTGACCGTTGTCTTTGCATATATCCACAGTGTGTCCTGTGAACTTGAGTCACAGCGAGCTGTGCAGAACACACCGGGGACGCACAGTCAACAGGGCGGGCAGTGTCCCACCCCTCTCACCTCTAGATCCCCAGCGCCGGAAGCCTGGAGTGCCACTCCAGGGACAGCTCTGCCCTGTCCTGTTGTTGTTTGGCCACTCCCGCACTTAGCCGCTTGCACCCCAAACTGTGCCCTTCCAGGCCTGTTAGGGTGTCCTTGGCCTGGCGTCCTGGTGGCACTTTCGGAGCTCCAGTGTCCTGCGTGGGCTCTGTCCAGCAGGGTGACCTCGGGGACACTGACTCTGGGCCTCAGTCGCCTCCTCTGGGAGATGAGCAGGGTGCATTGTCCCAGGTCACTGAGATTCGAACAGCTAACGTGGGTGCAGGCCTCAGGGCAAGGCAGGTGTGGCGTCCCCTCTGTCACATCCAAGGACTGCTCGCCCAGGGGACGGGGGCGAGGGGCAGCCCCCTGCCCGTCGGTGTACAGACTCAGGAGCCGCTGAGGGGCAGCTGCGAGTCACGCGCTGGCGGTGTAACAGATGAGATGACCCTTGTCACCGTGTGTGGGCCTGCTGCCTCCACTGAGGAGTCACCTGTGCTCTCACCCTCCTCCCCCCAGCTGGCGTATGGTCAGGACGGGCAGCTGAAGGGCTTCGCTGTGCTGGAGTACGAGACCGCGGAGATGGCCGAGCAGGCCCAGGAGCAGGCCAATGGACTGGCCCTGGGGGGCAGCCACCTGCGGGTCTCCTTCTGTGCCCCCGGACCCCCCGGCCGCAGCATGCTGGCTGCGCTCATCGCTGCCCAGGCCACGGTGAGTTGAGGAGGGACCCAGGCGGTAGGCCCCAGAATCGGTGGGCCCCAGGGCGGGGTCAGCTCAGATCCACCCCTGTCTCCCCACAGGCCCTCAACCGGGGCAAGGGCCTCCTGCCCGAGCCAAACATCCTGCAGCTGCTTAACAACCTGGGGCCGTCGGCATCCCTTCAGCTGCTGCTGAACCCCCTGCTCCACAGCAGCGCCGGCGGCAAGCAGGGTACGTGGTGCCATGGCGGGGTTGGTGCGTGGTGGACACCAGAGGGGTCTCCGTCTGTCCGTCCGTCGTTGCCCCCACCCCCCCCTGCTCCGTCCTTCCCCGGGCCCTGTCCTTGGGACTCCGCTTTCTTTCTCATCCTCCACTGTGTTTAATGAGTGGGCCTGGCCCAGCCCAGGACCACTGCCCACTTCTCTGTCTCCCTCCAGGCCTCCTCGGTGCTCCCCCAGCCATGCCGCTGTTGAACGGGCCAGCACTGTCCACGGCGCTCCTGCAGCTGGCCCTGCAGTCCCAGGGTCAGAAGGTAACGCCCCAGCCCAGGCCCCTCCACACCCCGAGGCATGGGAAATTCTGCCCGTGACTTGCACTGGCTCATGATACGGGGCCTGGCCTGTCACCAGTGCTCAGGTCTTAGGAAGTCACTGTGGGCCACGCACATGAGCCAGCACCTCCCTCGCTGCCCCCCATGGTTAGGTGTCCCTCTCTTGTGAGGGGACGTAAACACACCCCTTGCCACCCAGAAACCAGACATGTGGTGAAAGGCCGCCACCACACCCCAGCTCAGAGTCCCCATCTACCTGTGGGGGAGGAATCTGGAGCCCTGACACCCCATCCTCAGCGCACACCCCTCATCCCCTACACTGTCTGGATTGGTCCCTTGGGATAAAGTCAGTGACACGAGTGTGTCTGATTTTAACTGACAAGGATGTGAGGCTGGTGGGTGGGGGTGGGATGGAAGACAGTGTAGAGTGACAGATGAGCTCCTTGCATGAGCTTCCTGCAACAGGCGGGTCACTGCCTGCCTGGCTGTGGGACAGAGGCTGGGAAGTTGCCATCACCATCCCCGGCTAACTGTCCCCTGTCCCTAGAAACCTGGCATCCTGGGAGACTCACCCCTGGGTCCTCTCCAGCCTGGAGCCCAGCAGGCCAACCCCCTCCTCGGAGAGCTGCCTACAGGTAAAGCCAGCCCCAGCGCCTCACCTCCCTGGATCTATCGGGGGGGGGCTACCTCAATCACCAAGGGGGTTGCTGTGTGGAAATGGCTGTGCTGTGCATGTTTTCAGCCCCCTGGCCACTGGGCCTGGTCTGTGGGGAGGCCCTGAGGCTCTGGTGGGAGGGATCGTGTACATATGGACCACTGACCCCATCTTCTCTCTGTAGGGGGGGGCCTGCCACCTGAAATGCCACCCCGGCGAGGGAAGCCACCACCCCTGCTGCCCCCACTGCTTGGCCCTTCTGCAAGTGACCGAGAGACCATGGGCCTAGGCCCCTCGGCCCAGCTCACTCCGCCCCCTGCCCCCACGGGGCTCCGAAGCACTGGCCTCAGAGGCCTCCAGAAAGACAGTGGCCCTGTGCTGACACCCCCAGGGGTAAGGCCCCACCCTGCACCCGGAGCTGGACACCCCCACCCTGCATTACCTCCTGCCAGGAGCCCTCACAGATCCACCCTCCTGCCGCAGGTCTCACTGCTGGGGGAGCCCCCGAAAGACTTCCGGATCCCCCTGAATCCCTACTTGAACCTACACAGCCTGCTCCCAGCCAGCAACCTGGCGGGTAAGGAGGCCCGGGGCTGGGGGGGCGCCGGGAGGAGCCGCCGCCCAGCTGAGGGCCTCCTGCCTCCAGCTCCAGCCCCTGGAGGTGGCAGTGGTGGAGGCAACAAGGCCTTCCAGCTCAAGTCCCGCCTGCTCAGCCCCCTTCCCAGCACCCGCCTGCCCCCAGAGCCCGACAGCTACGGCTTCGACTACCCCTCGGTGAGTACCTGTACCTGGCCGCTGGCTGCCACGGCCTCTGGTCCCCTCAGAGCAAACTGATAGCTCTTCTCTCCTGACTGCCAGGCCTGGGCCGGGCACTAGTGAAAGGGTACGCTGCTGGCCTTCCCCTTGGAGACCACAAGAGGCCTCCGGCCACATCCGTCTGTTCTCTAGAGGCTCAGCCTCCTATGGGCCTTTCTGTCCATCCCTCCTGCTTTATTCCAGTCTCTGTCCCTGGTTCCAGGCTGACGGCCTACACATTACCTGTTTATATTTGTTTAAAAATAACAACCTGAAATAAATACCCGCACATAAAAATCTTGTGCTGACGCCTCGGTTCCCAGCTGCCTCACAAACCCCCCTATCCCCCAAATGGGGCTCCACTGCCTCTGGTGACCATCTAGCACCACTGGACTTAAGGGCCAGGACTCTTGGGTGGGTAGATGTCTCATTATCCTGGTGCCACCTTCTTGTGACCACTGTGGGGCCAGTGTGCCCTCACAGGAGTTTAAGCCTTGACCAGTAGGGGCATCCCTGATTGCAGCTGAGCTGAGGGGGAGATGGGTGCAGACCCCAACCCACCTTGCTTCTTCTCCTATTTAGGATGGGGGACCTCGGCGACTCTTCTCCCACTCAAGGGAGCCCACCCTTGGGCCCCATGGACACAGCCGACTCAAGGTAAGGACTTGACCATGGCCGTGACCACAACCGCCCTCCCTGGGTACCAGCACAGAACAAATTATCCCTCCTGGGGTGAATTAAAACGACAAATGTATTCACTCTCCCCCTTCTGTAGGGTGATGGGTGGTTTTGTCAGACTGGGCAATGTTGGAGTGTCTGCCCCTCGCAGAGCCCACTCACCCCAGGGTCCCCAGTGCACCCTCCGGAGGCCTCGGCTTAGATAGTATCTTGGCCAAAAGCTAGTTACACATAGTTGGGGAAATCTGCATGTGGGTGTGGAGATGGGAGTCAGTACTGTGGCCCTCGGTCTCATTCAGCTCACCTCTCTCTCTGCAGATGTCCCCACCGCCCACTGGCTTCAGTGAACGGAGTGGTGGGGGTAGCGGGGGGGCCCTCTCTCATTTCTATTCGGGCTCACCCACGTCTTACTTTGCCAGTGGCCTGCAGGCTGGCCTCAAACAGAGCCACCTCAATAAGGTGAGGCCCCTCTCCAGCCACGCCAGGTCCCCAGGGATTCCCAGGGCTGTGGGAACCCCCTTGGCGGAGGGGCCAAGGCCAGGGTGATGGGAGGCTTGTCCTTTCTCACGACAGTGCTGACGCAGGCAGTCATGACCCCTGGGCTGCCTGTCCCCCAGCCTAGCCTGTGGGTAGTGGTAACCCCAATTGACAGCTGAAGAAACTGAGGTTCTTCCCTAGACCGAGCTGCTAAGCAGCCACACACAGTGACCTCTCTCCCCCTCTCAGGCGGTCGGCTCCTCTCCGTTCAGCTCTGGAGAAGGCCTCCTGGGCCTCAGCCCAGGGCCCAATGGCCACAGCCATTTGCTGAAGGTAGGACGGGGAGCAGGGACGCACAGGTTCGGGGAATCGTGACCCTGGGACACCTCTGACCTACCACCCTTATTCTCTGTCTCCAGACTCCACTGGGTGGTCAGAAACGCAGCTTTGCCCACCTGCTGCCCTCGCCTGAGCCCAGCCCAGAAGGCAGCTATGTGGGCCAGCACTCCCAGGGTCTTGGTGGCCATTACGCGGACTCCTACCTGAAGAGGAAACGGATTTTCTAAGAGGCCCGCACTGGAGAAGCTCAAGGGCCTACAAGTCGCTTTTGGGTTTTCTGGTGTTTTGTTTTTCCTTGGTAATAGAAGAATCTAAAAAAGACTTTTCTGACCAACTGGCTGGAGCCCAGGAGTGTGGGACCACTCTGCACCTCTGGCCAATTCTGAGCACCGAAACCCTGCAGCCTTAAGAGGGGGCCCTGGCCCGCGCTCTTCTCCCTGCCGCCTCCACTCCACCGAGGCCTCTCTGGGAGGCCTCTCCTGCCTCCTGGCTCCTGTGTCTGGGCCTCTTGAGTGCCTTGAGGGTCTCACTGACCTCCCATGAAGATCAGAGATTGCCCCATTTTTTAACTTTGATAATTGACTTTTGTTCCTTTTTCTAATTTTGAATGTTTTTATTTTTTTTTTTTAAGAAAAAAAAAACAAACCACGACACCTCTATCTCCCGATTCCTTCCATGCCCAGCATCTGGGCCTCTGGCCCCCATTTTCGGTTTGATCGACCCTTTTCTTTCTCCCTTAGGTCTGTTGCAGGTGAGGTTCTGTCCTGCACCTGTCTTTCTGTCTCCCACTCCCATCACAGCCCCCCTAGCCTTCTGATGCCTTAAAGCTGGGCCCCAGGCTCCGCAGGCCAGAGCCTCTCGGGCGCCAAACGCTGGATCTTGGCTCAGGACCAAACAGCTCTGGCCTAGGGATTGGGCCTGCTGCCCTGGGTCCTTGTCCTAGGGACAGAAAGGGCTCCAGAGCCTCCGTCTTGGCACACCCACCCTCACCTTTCCATGCAGAGCCGGGCTTTCTGTGCCAGCCAAGGCCAGTCCCCTGCTGTCTGCCTGTGAACATTGTTCCCGACTTAGTGGGCCTCTTCGGTCCACCCCTCGGCCAGGTCACCTGGAGCTGGCCTCCCTTGCCTCCCATTAGCCCAGCGCCCCGCACCACAAACTCCATGCAGATAACCTTGTCCTTGGCCACCAGCAGAGTGTGCCGGAGGGGACCCTGGACCCTGGCCCTGGCCACCCAGGCCACCCACTCCCTTCCCACACCAGCCCCCCTCCACTCCAGGGGATGTCCTCCCCAATCCCACAAAGACTTTTACTGAATTAAAGTTTGTAAGTAAATAAGATTGCCTGGTTATTGGGGCTGCGATGGGCTTGGGTGAGAGGTCAGCGAGAGCAAACCCTTACCTCGCATTGCGGTCGTGCGCCTAAGAGAACCCGCTGCGCTTATACGGCGGTGATTACGGCCCCCGCGCGCCTTCGCGCATGCCTAGTCGTCGGGTCACGTGGCGCCTGTCATGGCGGCCGCCGTGGCCCGGGTCGGCGTGAATGCCGGGCTCTTGCTGCGGGCGACCCGGGGAGCTTGGTGGAGCAGACCTGCGAGCGGCCTGGGGGCCGGGGAGGCGGCGGCACCGGTGACGGCCAGGAGATTCCGGACGACAGGTACGCGGTGCCACGTGGGCGCAGCATGAACCGTCCAAGGCCGGCGGGGATGGCACAGCCGCTGACATAACTGTGTTTTCCAGGCTCGTGCCCAGCGCGGGAAGAGGAAGCGGGTGGCCCCGAGCGGCCTGGGGACGTGTGAGTGCGGGAGCGAGCCCCACCTGGCCCGGCCGCGCCTGTCCCCCGCCTCCTCCCCGAGGCTCCCTCCGGCCCCTCCTGTCCATCACGCCCTCATCCCCCAACCCTCGGTTCCGCCGCCCGCTGCGCCCATCCCTTCACTGGGCTTCTGCCCCCTGTCTGTCCCCAGGGTGAATGTGGTGTTCGTAGACCGGTCAGGCAGACGGATTCCGGTGAGCGGCAGAGTCGGGGACAATGTCCTCCACCTGGCCCAGCGCCACGGGGTGGACCTGGAAGGTGGGAGCCCCGCTTAGAGAACTGGGAACACTCGCATCCATTCATCTTAAAAATTACCATCAGGCTGTCTTTCTCCCATGGCTTAACCCTCCCATCAAACATGTATCAAAATCCAAACTGCTCCTGGTGGCTTGGACACAGCTCCTAGCCCTCATTCCCTCAGTGCTTGGTCTATAAGCATTTACAAGAGGCGAGTATTGCTCTCCTGGTCTTGTGTTCTCCCCTCCTCCCTCTGTTCTAACCACGCTGGCCTCCCGGCTTCTCCAACAGCCAAGTTCCACTCCTGCCCCAGCACTTTTGCACTTGACACTCCTCTCTCCCTAAGTGCCCTTCCCACCGTATCAGGCTCCTCTTCCTGCAGGACTCAGTGTAAATTCCATCCCCCTCAGCTCAAAGTCCTCGTGCCCCGGTCACCCTGTCTATTATGTTAATACCTTCTGCTGTCCTTACCACACTTATCACTATTTGCTGGGTTTGTCATCCATCCCTGTGACAAGAAGCAGACACTCCCATCAGCCACTGTGCTGGTATTTGAACGTAAACCACGCTCACTGTCCTCAGGTTGATTCCCACTGGTAGTAGTGAGCCTGTAGGAGAAAGTAGTGCTATCCCACAGGGCTTTGAGGACTGTTGTCTTTAGACAAGGAGAGTGCCGCATCCTTCTCCTGCAGAAAGGCTGGGAGGCTCACTGCCTAGCTGTTAGCTGCGAGTTACTATCTGGCCGCTGCTTGATTAGCTGCTTGACTAGCCTGCTAGCTGGAAGTTGTCAGTTCCATCCTCTGAAGCTCTGTGATGAAAAAGGCCTGTTGATCTGCTTCCCAAAGATTGTTGTTAACTGTCGTTGAGTCGCTGGCGACTTATAGCTACCCTATGAATGAAAGTCCTGGACTCCTCCTGTACAACTTTCGTCCTTTCTCCAGGTTCATAGGGTTTCCCAAGGCAAGCTATTGTGGAAGTGGATGCCACTCCTGCTTCCAAGCTTGGTGTGGTTTTTTGTGTGTGTGTGGTTTGGGTTTTTGTTGTTGTTGTTGTTTGGTTGGGGTTTTTTTGCGAGAAAAATTTATATTTAGCCACCTGTACTCAGTTTAGATGATCCCAATTTTGTTGGCAACATCCAAAACATCATAGTCAGGAGCAAGTCAAACATAGGCCTTCTTCTCTCCATCAGGCCTGATCAAAGTGTTGACCTTGGCCTCATCAATGTCATAGAGCTTCTTTACAGCTTGTTTAATTTGGCTCTTGTTGGCCTTGACATCCACAGTGAATACAGTGTGTTGTTATCGTCTATCTTCTTCATGACTGACTCAGTGGTCAGGGGAAATTTGATGATGGCATAGTGGTCAAGCTTGTTTCTCCTGGGGGCGCTCTTCCGGGGGTATTTGGGCTGCCTTCAGGTCTCAGCGTCTTAGGCCGCTGGAAAGTGGGTGACGTGCAGATCTTTTTTTTGGCTGTGGATGCCCTTCAGGATGCCTTCTTGGCCTTTAATGCCTTTGCTTTGGCTTCAGTTTTGGGAGGGGCAGGGGCTTCCTTCTTCACTTTCGGTGCCATCTTCGTAGAAAGTCCCACACTTGTTTTATTCAGGGAGCTCCACCGAACACTGTTCCCCATGGGTGACCATTCTCGCATTTGACTCATCAGTCAAGATTACAGCCGAGAAAACCCTATTATGCAGCAGCTCTCCTTTCACATGGGAATCAACTCCACGGCATGCAATTTGGAAAAGATGGACATTAAGTCAGTGAGTCTTGATGAAATAATAGCAGAAACTAAGAAATGAGCTCTGGTGGCCTAGTATTTTCACTGCCAACCCAAAGACAGGTTCAAATCCACCCGCTATTCCCAGAGAAAAAGATAGGCAGTTCCCTTGCATGTGATTTACAGCCTTTGGAAACCCACTGGAGGTCCAAGTATAAGTCAGTTCCAACTTGCTGACAGTGAGTATAGTATATACTTTTACGAAATCATACGCTGGACCCTCATCATTTCCTTCCCCTGCTCCCCCCACCGACCAAACTGTGCAGCTCTGCAACTGCATCCCTGCCCGTCCTCACCCTTCTGCCCCCAACCCTCACCTCCTTGTACCCCCAATATGTTTTTCCCAATAAAAAAAATTATAAAAAAAAAGAAATCATAGCAGATGGATCTTGGCAGAAAGCAAATAATATCAGAGGAATGTCTGTCTGTGTTTCATCGCCTATACAAAGGCATTTGACTGTGTGGACCACAACAAATGGTGGCTAACCTTGAGGAGAATGGGAATCCCAGGACACTTGATAGTGCTCATGTAAAACCTATTCTCAAACCAGGAAGCAGTCCTCAGAACAGAGCAGGGAAGCACTACATGGTTCAAAATAAGGAACAGAGTGTGTCAGGGATGTGTCCATACCTTTTCAGTCTTTATGCAGAACAGATCATTTGGGAGGCTGGACTTTATGAGGAGGAATGTGGCATCAGGATTGGAGGAAGACTCATCAACAACCCCTGTTATGCACATCCTACACCTTGCTTGCTTGACACTGAGGAGGACCTGAAGTGCTTGCTGCAGAAGGTCAAAGACTGTAGTCTTCAATATGGATTGAAGCTTAACATCAAGAAGACAAAGATTCTCACCGCTGGGCCAGTTGGCAGCACCATAATAAATGGAGACGAGATTGAGATTGTTAATAATTACAGCTTGTTTGGCTGCACAGTCAACACTCTTAACACCAGCAGTCAGAAAATCAAAAGACTAATTGCACTGGGAAAATCTGTCAGGGACCTATCCAGAGCACTGCAAAGCAATAGTGTGAGTCTGAGTACTAAGGTGCACCTAATCCAGGCCATGGTCTTTGCAATTACTTGCTATGAATCAGAGAGCTGGATAGTGACTAAAGATGACAGAAGAATCAATGCCTTTGAGTTGTGGTGTTGGAGAAGAGCCTTGACCATAGAATGGACCTCCAAGAAAACAAATAGGTCTGTCCTGGAGAGGGTGAAATCAAGTTTCTCCTTGAAGGCTAGGATTTTGAAGCTCCATCGCACGTGGCTAAGAAAGGACCTGTCCTTGGAGAAGGACATTATGCTTGGAAGCATGGAGGGACAGCACAGGAGAGGAAGACCTGGCTGAGGTGGATGGATACAGTAACTGGGGCAATGGGGTAGGTGTGTTGGAGTCATTGAGACTGGCTTAGGACAGGGCAGACTTCAGAGTTGTACATAGAGTCATTATGAGTCCCAGGTGACTCGATGGCACGTAACAGTAACAGCAGCTTTAGACTTTGTCTCTACCTACTTTGGTTATGTTTTCAGGAGGGACCAGTCTTTGAAAAAAAGACATGCTGGGAAAGGTAGGTGTTCAGAGAAAGAGGAGGACCTTCAGTGAAAAGGATTGGCAGTAGCTACAACGATGGTCTTGAGCATCATGGCGTTTGTGTTGTTAGGGCCAGGATCACTGACGCATAGTCCCCTTAACAGCACCTAACAACTTTAAGCATGTTAGCTTTAAGCGTATTAACTGATTGGATCTCATGACAACTCTAAAAAGACAGCCTGTTGTCCCCATTTATAGATTTGGAAACTGAGTCTCAGGTTAAGTAAACCTGGTGCAAGGTCAAGTAAGTGGCAAAACTAGATTTGGACCATCCCATTTTCGTTACTATTCAGTGCTGCCCTTCTCTGAATTTTAAGCACCTACTGTGTCTGATACAGGCCATGGTCTTCACAGTCACTTGTTATGCATCAGAGAGTTGGACAATGACTAGGGAGGATAGAAGGAGAATTGATGCCTTTGAGCTGTGGTGCTGGAGAAGAGTATTGAGGGTACCATGGACTGCTAGGGAAGCAAACAGATTTGTCCTTGAGAGGGTTAAACCAGGTTGTTCCTTGGAGGCAAGGATTCTGAGGCTTTGTCTGACATACTTTGGACATGTTGTAAGGAGGGACCGGTCCTTGGAGAGGGACATCATGCTTGGGAGGGTGGACGGACAGTGCAGGAAGGGAAGGCCCTCTAGGAGGATTCAGTGACTGGGGTAATCGGGATGTGTTATTGGAGACAGTGTGATTGGCACAGGACAGAGCAGTTTAGGGCTGTTGTACGTAGGGTCACTATGAGTCGCAAGCGACTCAACGGCACATAACAACAACAGCTGTGTGCCATAGCCTTGGTTGCTGAAAACGAGGACATGAAACACTACTTGGCAAAAGATCAAAGACTCCAGCCCTCAGCATGGATTGCACCTTAATGTCAAGGAAACAGAGAACTGCACCACTGGACCAATAAACAACATCATGATAGATGGAGAAAAGATTGACATTGTCAACGGTTTCATCAGTCAGCCCCCTTGGTACCAGCAATCAGGAGATGTATTTCATTGGGGAAGTTTTCTGTTTGGAGAGGAATTAGTCTCCAATGTACCTAGGGAACAATGATGATAGTTTGGAGACTAAGGTGCACCTGATTCATGCTGTGGTCTTTCCCTCTCCCTCTCCCTTTCTCTCTCTCTCTCGGCCTCTCTCTCTCTCTCTCTCTCCTCTCTTGGCCTCTTGCTCTCTCGGCCTCTCGCTATCTTGGCTTCTTTCTCCTCCTCTCTCTCTTGCTCTCTCAGCCTCTCTGTGTCTCTCAGCCTCTCGCTATCTCTGCCTCTCTCTCTCCTCCTCTCTCTCTCGGCCTCTCGCTATCTCGGCCTCTCTCTCTCGGCCTCTCTCTCTCTCTCTCTCTCTGCCTCTCGCTCTCTCGGCCTCTTTCTCTCTCTCTCTCAGCTATGGTCTTTTCAGTCACCTGCCAAGTGCTTGAGAGCTGATTAGTGAATAGGGATAACAGAAAAATTGATGCTTTTGAGTTGTAGTGTTGGAGAAGAGTGCTGAATATCCCATAGACTGCCAAAAGAACAGATAGATAAGTCTTGGAAATGTGCTGTTGTTGTGTGTGTAGACCGTCAACTCAGATCTGACTGATACAGGAGGAGATTGTCCCTCCTCCAGCAGAGCATCTGGTGGATTCGAACCAGAGAGCTTCTTAGAGGCAAGGATGTCAAAGCTTGGTCTTATATACTTTGGACATGTTGCTGTGAGAGGCTATTCCTTGGAAAAGGACATCATTCAAGGAAGTGGGGGAGGGCCAGGGAAAGAAAGACCCTCAGCCAGATGGATTGACAGTGACTATAGCAATGGGCTCAAGTGCGATGATGAAGATGGAACAGGATTCAGATCTGTTGTTCAGCATCTCTGTGAGTCATACTCGACCCAACAACACCTAACAACAACAGTAACTATGTGATATCAGATGCCCAGCTCATGCTTGGCAAGATAGAGCGTCAGTGAGAGAAAGAGATGGATTGACACTGCCCGCAGCAGTGGGTCTGAGCATGGTAGAGATTGTGGACGGTGCAGGATAGGGCGAGATATTGCCATTTGTTGTTCAGAGGGTCGCTGAGTCATGCCTCATTCAGCAGCACCCAACAACAACAACAGTGCTGTGTGCCAGGGACTGTGCTGGGAGCCGAGTGGACAGCATTGTACAAGACAGATAAAACCCCTAGCACCCCTCTTCATTTGCAACCTGATAAACCCTGATCTGTTATATCATGAGCATTGGCAAGAATTCTCTGACGAAAACCTCCCAAGTTTGTGCATTAGAAGCTGGGGGCCTAAGTTAAACATTAGAGCTGGGGCGAGGGTGGAATGAGGCTGGCCTGCCTTGCGATCCAATGTGGAGTCCAGCCAGTGCCTAGGCTTGACCTCTGGAAGCCAGGGGCCCTGGATGGCAGTCCAGGAAGGTGTTGGAAGATGGTTTTCAAAGTTGGAAGTTGGCAAATCTTGCCTCTTCCTGTGTGAACCTAGGGAGAGTACTCAGCTTCCCTGGACCCCCATTTCCTCATCTATTAAACAGGATGGCTTAGCTCTCATCTCGCTGGGTGACTGGGAGGAGAGGCCACAGTCAGGATGCAGTGGAGAGCTGGGATTATTCTGTGACTGGATACTTCTGACATCCTGTGATGCAGAAGAGATGTCCAGATGCCACTTGGAGCTTCAAAGCCCGAGGAGACCAGGAGGGTGGGTGGATTAGTCACAGGGCGGCCGAGGCATTGCTGGGTCCAGAGACTGCCCAGCCAGTGACACTTCTTAGCAGGGCATGTAAGAGGGTGAAGAGTGGGGTGAGCAGGGCAGGCGCCTCTTCTCTTGGGTGAGACACATGGTTCTTCAGCATCCAGGGCATGCCAAGTCTGTGCTGGGCAGAGAGAGTAGGGGAGGCCTATAGGGATCGGGGTGACCCAGAGATCAAGATGGTTACACCAGATGTGATTAAATACTGTACAAAAATGAGAGAGGTGATGATGGGGAGAAAGGACAAGAAGTAGGGGGCATTTGAGTCTCCAGAGACAAGGAGCCACTGTGGGAAGTGTGGTAGGAAGCATACTCTAGGCCGAGGGACTAGGATGTGCAAAGGCCCTGAGGTCGGGAGGGGCGGGCAGACACACGGATTTTACCTCGGGTGTATTTTCAGGGAGCGTGGCATCATCTGTAGGGAGTTACACTGCTAACCCAAGGTGGTACCAGTTTGTATCTACCAGCAGTTGTTGTTGTTGTTGTTATGTGCCATCGAGTCGCTTGCGACTCATAGCAACCCTTTGTACAACAACCCTAAATGCTGTTCTATCCTGTGCCAACCTAGCCATCTCAAACGCACTATTCCCACTGCTCCAGTCACAGAATCGATCCATCTCACCAAAGGTCTTCCTCTCCTTTGCTTCCCCTCCACTCTTCCAAACATGATGTCCCTTTCCAAGGACCAGTCCCTCCTTGCAACATGCCCAAAATATGTCAGATGAAGCCTCAGAATCCTTGACTCCAGGGAACACTCTGGCTTCACCCTCTCCAGGACAAACCTGTTTGTTCTCCTAGCAGTCCATGGTATATTCAACACTCTTCTCCAGCACCAGAGCTCAAAGGCATCAATCCTCAGTTTCTATCAGCCCTATTCACTGTCCAACTCTCCAATGCATAGCACATAATTGCGAAGACTATAGCCCGGATCAGGCGCTCCTTAGTCTTCAGCCTGACATCGTTGCTCTTCAGTACTCTTGAGAAGTCCCTCACAGCCGACTTTCCCAATACAATTCGTCTCCTGATTTCCTGGCTGCTGGTACCAAGAGCGTTGACTGTGGAGCCAAGTAAATTAAAACTTAACTATCTCAATCTCTTCACCATCCATGCTGATGCTGCCAATTGGCCCAGTGGTTAGAATCTTTGTTTTCTTGACATTTAGCTTCAGTCCATATAGGAGGCTGTAGTCCTTGATCTTCTGCAGCAAGCGCTTCAGGTCCTCCTCAGTTTCAGCAAGCAGGGTTATGTCATCTGCATAACGCAGGTTGTTGATGATTCTTCCACCAATCCTGATGCCACATTCCTCTTCTTATAGCCCAGCGTCTCGGATGATCTGTTCTGCATACAGATTGAAAAGGTATGGAGACAGAATACATCCTTGACGGACCCCCTTCTTGATTTTGAACCATGTAATGTCTCCTTGCTCTGTTCTGACGACTGCCTCTCGGTCCAAGTATAGGTTTCACATGAGCACAATCAAATGTTCTGGGATTCCCATTCTTCTCAGAGTCAGCCACAGCTTGTTATGATCCACACAGTCAAAAGCCTTTGCATAGCCAATGAGGCACAGATAGACATTCTTCTGGTATTCTCTGCTTTCTGCCAAGATCCATCTGACATTAGCTATAATATCCCTAGTACCATGACCTCTTCTAAATCCGGCCTGCACATCTGGCAGTTCTCTGTTGACATATTGTTCCAAACGCCAAACGTTTTTGGATAATTTTCAGCAGAATCTTGCTTGCATGTGATATCAATGATATTGTTTGATAATTTCCACACTCTGTTGGGTCACCTTTCTTTGGAATGGGAACAAATATTGATCTTTTCCAGTCAATGGGCCAGCTGGCAGTGCCTCCAGAAAAAAGATGGGCGTTCCCCTCCCATGCCGTTTACAATGTCCAAAAACCCACTGGAGGGTTAGTTCCAACTCCACAGCAGTGAGTTTGGTCTCGTTCGTTCTGAAGCAGGAGGAGAATGATCCTTGAGCAGCTCTCAGTGATGAGCCGGAGGGGCTGGGAGGTGTCCGAGTTCAGGTGGCCAACGTTGTTGTTAGGTGCCATTGAGTAGGACTCATAACGATACTATGAACAGCAGACCTGAACCCTGTCCTATCCTGTGCCGTCCTGTCGTCTCACACACTTGAGCCCATTGCTCCAGTCACTGTGTTAATTTTGTTGGTGGTCTCTCCCCTGAACCTCTGTTGGGCTGAATTTCAGGAAGGAGCAGAAAAACTAGAGATATGTGGATTTCTGCCCCATTTCCCTGACCTCTCTGTCCTCGCTCCCACCACACTGGTGCTGAGCGAGCCTGTCCCACCTTGGAGCAGCAGGGAGGCCTAACAGGGATAGGGGTTGCAGCAAGGGCTGAAGGAACCCCCTGGTTTCCAGCTCTGCTCTGTAATGGCTCCCCACACCCAGCAAAGCCCCCCCAGCCTCCTGGGGAGCCCCTGGGAAATGGGACACTGGATACAAAAGGGAAAGACAGCCTGATGTGAAGGGAGAGCCTCCCAGAGGAGCAGGCCTGGGAGGGAGGTGGGATGGCCGACTCTCTGCAGTGAGCACTCCTCCACTCACCACCCCCAGGGGCCTGTGAAGCCTCCCTGGCTTGCTCCACCTGCCACGTGTATGTGAGTGAAGACCACCTGGATCTTTTGCCTCCACCTGATGAGAGGTGAGCAGGACGGGAAGGGCCAGGGCAGCCCTGGGGCTCCTTGCGGCCCCCTTACCCCCGAATCCGGGTGTGCAGAGGCCCCAGCCTTCTCCCCACCTCCCCAGCCAGGAGGTTGCACCCCGCTAATGCTGTCCCCCTGCCCAGGGAGGACGACATGCTGGACATGGCCCCCCTCCTCCAGGAGAACTCCCGGCTGGGTTGCCAGATCCTGCTGACCCCCGAGCTGGAGGGGGCCGAGTTCACCCTGCCCAAGATCACCAGAAACTTCTACGTGGACGGCCACGTCCCCAAGCCCCACTGACAACAACGGGCAGCTACGCCACGTGGACACCACGGACCCAGGGCCAGGACCGAGGGCCAGCCCGCTGCAAGGACAGGCCAGGAGTCGGTGGAAGGACGCCAGAGGCCTAGGCCCCCCGTTTCAGAGACCCAGGGCCAGGCTCCCGGAGAGGGGGGCATAGCCCCTCTACTGCAGTGCTTTCCCCAAGACCCTGGAGAATCGGATGTGGATGAGGGTGGAATCTGGAGCTACAATAAAGCAGTCTTACAGACGTCCAGCATCTGAGTGTTCTTGGGGACAGCGCTGCGGGTCCAACAACCACAGCTTCCATGCATTTCCCCCCACCCCGACCTGTGCACACTCAGGCAGTGATGGGGGGACAGCAGGTGCGGGGTGCTGCTGGCTGTGTGCGGCCTGGAGTTTTGGGGGGGACGCACCGTCGGAAGACCCACGTGGGTTAGCGTGGCAAGGCCCCGCCCCTGCCGCTGCGGAGGGATTCGGAGGGGTCCAGGGGGCGCCCTGCACCGCGGGCAGCGCAGGTGATCGAGGACGCAGCGGGGACGTCCGGGGACGCAGCGGGGGACGTCGGGGTTAACCCAGGTGCGGCTCAGCGCGGACACAGCAGGAACCCCGCGCCTCGCAGCAGGTGGGGCGCATCCGAGAACCACTGGGGCCGCCCTCGGAGAACCCAGGACCGAACCCGGGCCGCCCAGGGCGCCATGGAGGCCCGGCCCTCCCCGCACTTCTCCATGCTGCTGCTGCGCGAGCTGCTGGCGCCACCGGGTCTGGAGACCGACCGGCCCCCAACGGGGTGCGGCTGCAGGTGCGTGCGGGCCCCATCCTCTCGCCCTTCCACCTGGCCCACGGGCTTTTGAGAATAGTTACCAAGGCGGGTCACGAGGTCATGAGGAGGTCAGAGGCCAGCTCCCCTCCCCCCCTCCGTCTCTCAGGGACAGTCAAGCACCACTCGGGTCATCTGGGGGTTGTGGAGGGCAACAACCCAGGAGTAACAGTAAAAAGAAAAAGTAAATAAAAAACCCCACATCACAGCATGGCCCCCACCCCACCCCCACCCCAGACCCAGCAGCCGCGGGACCCTGCCCGTCCCGGAGCACCTGGCCGGGTTTCTGGGTGGGTGAGGCTGCTCGGGCTCCTCACGTGTGCAGTTGCTGCGTGCAATAAATAAAGCCCACGTGGAGGAAGCGAGAGACCCTGGGCTGACACACAGTAGGTACACAGGGCTCGCCACAATCTCAACAGTGCTCTGACTTTCAGACAATTCAGGTGAGGGTTCTGAGCCCCAGGGAGCCACCAAGCAGCACCTGGGGGCTCGCCCAGCCCTCCCCCAGGGAAGGGGTGACCACACTGCCTTGTACTCAGGTCCACGTCACCTGTGCACCAGGCCTCGGTCGCCGCCCTGTGTTTCCTCCAGGCCGGGAGGTCCCGCTGGGATCCCATGGCTTTGGGGTCCCTGGCCAGGGACGCCAAGGACATGCCGGTCCCAGTCAGCCAGCGGTGCCTCGCCCTAGAGCAACCCAGGACCTCCCCGGCCCCCTCGGCCCAGCCCCAGAGGAGGCCTAGGAAGCAACCGAATCCCCTCCGGGGCACCGAGAAGGTGGACCCTGGGTTTGAGGGGGTGACGCTGAAGTTTCAGATAAAGCCGGATTCCAGCCTGCAGATCATACCCAGCTACAGGTAGGGGCTGCCGCAGGTGAGGGTGTTGTACAGGTGAGAAGAATGTCCAAGGAGGGAGAGCAGAGTCGCAGGCCAGGTGCTTGGAATCATCCACCCACTTTATGGAAAGGCACCCTGAGGCCCAGAGCTGGGACGACATTTCCCCCTCTCCCTGGGCGAGACCTCGGCCCGGCTTTCCAGTGCCATCATGTCCCCTGTTTCCCCTTTATGAAATTGCCCTAAGTGTTCTGAGAACCTCTGCTGTTATTCCTGGGAACGGTAATTGGTATCAGACGGTATCGATTGCAGCTCAGAGCTGGACAGACTAGAACCTTCCAGTAGGGTTTCAGAGGCCACCGTCTTTGAGAAAGCTGACTGCCACATCTTTCTCCTCTGAAGCAGCTGTGCGTTTGAACCTCTGGCCTTCTGGTTAGTAGTTGAGTGTGTACCTCAGTGCCACCAGGACGCCTGGATAATTTATCAACTCCTTCTTTGCTGTCGAGTCTGAACCAACACACAGCTGACCATCTGTTGGGTTTTTCTTTTTGTGTACCATTGAGTCAATTCAACTGGCACAGGAGGAGATTGTCCCCCCTTCTCCAGCAGAGTATCTGGTGGATTTGAACCGCGTGCCTTTGGGATTGCAGTGCCGCTTCTTGCCACTAGGCCACCAGAGCTCCCTTCTGTGGGGTTTTCGAGGCTGTAAACCTCACAGGACAAGATGGTTCATCTTTCTCCCAAGGAGTTGCTGGTGTATTTGTACCGCCAGCGATGAGCCTCCTTTAGGAGAACCGGGCCCCTCCCCGCAGACCAGATCTCCCTGTATATTAATAACAACAGCGACAGTAGCAGGTGACAGGAGCATTTCATGTCTGTGGACTGTGTGGAGCCCATTTTACAGATGAAAAGTTGAGGCACAGAGGTGCCTCTCTTTAGAGGTTGAACTAACTGGTTGAGAATGCTACAGAGAGGATGAGGGTTAGTGGGAGTACTCAGATTAGTAGTAGCTGGTGAGCGGGCCCAGGCTTACTACTTCTTAGGATTAAAGTAATAATCCAGGGAGCTCTGGTGGCCTAGTGGCAAGAAGCTGCACTGCAATCCCAGATGGATGCAGTGCGAATCCACCAGATGCTCTGTTGGAGAAGGAGGGGCAATCTCCTCCTGTACAAGTTGGATCCAGTTTGACAGTACACACACAAAAAAATAATAGAAGAAAAATTTTTTAAAGTAATAATCGTCCCTGGATGGCACACGCAGTTTGCATTTGACCACTAACCTACAATTTGGCAGTACAGACCTACCCAACAGCACAGAAGAACAAAGGCCTGGCGGTCTGCTTCTGAAAGGATTCCTTCCCATTGCCATTGAGCTTGTCCCAGCTCAGAGCGACCTCCGTCAGGTTTCTGAAGCTGTAAATCTTTATGGGAAGAGATTTCCCATACGTCTGCCTGAGGGCAGGTGGTGGATTCGAACTGCCAACCTTTTCAATCAGCTTCAATCTAGTCCTTCACTCCCCACACTGCTGGGGCTCCCTCTGGAAAGATTAACAGCCAAGAAAACCGTGTGAAGCAATTCTGCTCTGTAACATACGGGGTTGGCATGAGTCAGAGGCATCTTGAAGGTAATGGGGTTTCGGTTACCAAGAAGGGGCCTTTCAGACACTAAGTATGTCCTTAGAGGCTACTGGAGACCTCGATAGTATATCTTTATTTGGGGAGGTGTTGTCTTGAGGAAACAAGGGCCCCAATGCTGATGTCTCATCTACTGCCAGCCTGTCATGCAGCAGCCGGGCCCCAGGACCCCCGGCAGGCCCCGCCAAGGGCCCTGAGGCTGACCAGGGAGGCGGTGACGTTCTGGGTGAGTCCTGGGGTGTTAAGAGCTGTGACTATTTGGGGGTCCAGTTTCCTATCCTTGCCTTTATCCTAACCCCATTTAGACCCATCCAGGAGGAGTCACAGCGTTCCCCCTTCCCCCCCCCCCACGCTGAGTCAGCCCACCCCCAGCTCCCAGCTTCCTGCCCTGCCGGGGTGGTACCATCTGTCCTCCTGCCTGGCTTGGCTTCTGCTGTGGAGCCAGCAACCCCCCCTCTCTGGCTCAGCACTGAGTGGGGGGCCTTCACAGGCATCACCCTAAGTCACCCCACTACCAGTGGATTCCTGAACCCAGGTCTTGGCCTCTGACCCCCGGCCTCTGACCCCCTGCCTTTGCCCCCTCAGGACCCCGACGCTGTGCCTCCTGCAGGACCCAGAGGACTCCACTCTGGAGAGATGCTGAGGATGGAACCCCACTCTGCAATGCTTGTGGTATCAGGTCCTCAGAATGCAAGGGGGTCCCCAGCTGAGTGGGGGCTCAGCCTGCGGGGGGGGAGGTGCGGGAAGAGCTTTGTTTATTTGGTGTCTTCAAATCCACTCCAGCATGGGGTTGTGGGGAGGAGAAACACCTACCTGGAGGAAAGTGGCTGCTTTGTGGTGGTTTCTGGGGCCCCGCTGCATCCTGAATGGTGGTTTTCTTATACCCACTGCATCACCAGGTACAAAAAATACGGTACCCGATGCTCCACCTGTTGGCTGGTACCCAGGAAGAATGTTCAGCCCAAGAGGCTTTGTGGTCGATGTGGGGTGTCCCTAGGTGCCTACCATGGCCCAGCTCAGCAAGGGTAAGCCTGTCCCCACCCACTTTCTGGGTGAAGAGTAGGCAGGGGGTATCCTGGGAGACGCCAGGAGGAGCCTGGGTATAGAGAGCTATTTCAGGTGGGTGGGGAACCGTGCCATGAGCCTTCTGTCTGTCTCTTCCCCCATCCAGGGATCCTGGTTGCAAGACTCTGGCCTCAGGCTCCAGAGCCCCTCAGGGAAAAGAAGAAGCTGAGGGCCCTGTCCCAGGGGGCCATGGACCCCCTCCTCAGTCTGTGCTCCAGATGCCGTGGACTGTACCTCCCCCCAGGAAATTATCTCAGCATCAATAATGCAGTGTTAACGGTTGCATCAATAAAGGCCAGAGTCTTCTGAAAGAAAGAGCAGTTTGATTTGGGGACATCACCCTTGTGCACTCCTGAACGTACTCTCCTCTGGCCCAGGAACACGGGCTCGTGTGTTCCCACTGGAATCCTGAGGGGTACACACACACACACACACACACACACATTCACATTCACATTCACACAGAGTTGTCCAGAGAGGCAGCATGCACCACTAAAGCCCATACCATCATCACAGGCAAAGAAATAGACATGCAACCAGAAACAAAACAACTGTGGCTCAACTCTCCCCTGAAATACAGGCCTGGAAGATGGGTAATAACTCCAGGGAGGTGTTCTCTCCTTAGAAGAGGAGGGAAGACGAGATCAAAGCGCAGTATCTGCCTGCAGACAAAGTGCAGAAGACAGGATGGAGCAGAATGGAATGATGAGTGGAAATGAGAAAGGGAGAAGTGGGCAGAGGGCAGTTACAGTGTGGGGATTGAAACTCCTGTCATAAAACGCAAAGTGTGCGACTGGTTGAATGGAAAAGCCACTTGCTTTGTTCACTCAGATCCCAATTTCTTTTTGAAAACTCTAGGGAGCTCTGGTGGCCTAGTGGCAAGAAGTTGCACTGCAATCCCAGAGGTACACAGTTCAAATCCACCAGATGCTCTGCTGGAGAAGGGGCAATCTCCTCCTGTACCAGTCAGATCCGACTTGACAGTGGTGGTTGTTAGGTGCCGTCGAGTCGTAGACGACTCATAGCAACCCTATGAACAAAAGGCCTGAGCACTGTTCATAGAGTTTCCAGAGGCAAGCCATTTCAGAAGTGGATGCCACTCCTGCTTTCAGGCTTGTTTTAGTCGGGAAGCTCCACCAAACATTGTCCACCATGGGTGACCATTACCACGTTTGGCACATCAGTGTCACAGTGTTTAGCATCACAGCAACCACGAGTTACCTCTGTACAGCAATGCACAGACCAGTGCTACACCACCTAGAAGAATGTTTCAAAGGAAAACAATTTGAACCTGTCCTGAGGGCCGCAGATTAAAATCACCCACCTTCAGCTTGGTAGCATAACTTTCTGTCCACTGTGCCAGTCAGATCCAGTATGATGGTACACCAAAGATAATAACACAACAAAACCGCTCAAAACTGATAGCTGACAAGTTGGAACTGACTCATCTGCACCTAACACCTGAGTCGGGTTTTGGAGGCAATAAAAGCCGCCAGAAGAGATTACTTCTGAGGAGCTGCTGGTGATTGAACTGCCAGAGAGGAGCCACCTACGGTTAGGAGTTCATTCCCTGCCTGAAGTCAGACTAAAGAGAGGCCTTAGCCCTCAGTTGCTAAGTCAGTCTCCCCTCAGATTCCCCATAACCAGATGACCACTTGGTCCACACTCATGGGGATTCAGCCCCACAGTCACCTCCTCTGAGAAGCCTCCCTGAAGCACACGGCCCATAACCCCTTCTCTCAGTCTATCTCTGCTCTTTCCTGAGCTGCTTTTTGCTACTGTTGTGTACCAAGTCACGACTGACCCATACCTGACCCTCCAGTGGGTTTTCAGAGGCAGTAATCCCATGGAATATTTTGTTTGCCCTTCTCTGGAGCAGCTATGAACCTGCTTTGAACCTGGTTTGCAGAGCAGATTCTTACCACTAGGCCACAGAACTCCTCCTTGTTGTTAGGTGTTATCAAGTCACCTGTGACCCATAGCGAGCCTATGTACATCAGCTCTTCGCCTCCTGCCCTGTTCTGAGCCAGTCTCACTGACTGATACACCTACCCCCATTGCCCCAGTTACTGTGTCAATTCCATCTCATCTGGGGTCTTCCTCACTTGCGCTATCCCTCCACCCTTGCAAGCATGATGTCCTTCTCCAAGGACTGGTCCTTCCAGTTCACGTGCCCAAAGAATTTGGAGCTTCAAAATCCTAGCCTCCAAAGAGAAACTTGATTTTACTTTCTCCAAGACAGACCTGTGTGTTCTCTTGGTCCATGAAATGTTCATGACTCTTCTGCAGCACTACAACTTAAAGGCATCATTTCTTCTGTCATCCTTAGTCATTGTCCAGTTCTCTGATGCAAGGCAAATAATTGTGAAGACCATGGCCTGAATCACATGCACCCTAAGTCTCTAGACTGGACATCATAGCTTCTCAGTATTCTGGAGAGGTCCATGACTGCAGATTTTCCCAGTGCAAATTCATCTTTAATCGTTTCCTGGCTGCTGGTGCCAAGAGTGTTGATTTTGGAGCCAGAACTGAAATTCTGGTATTTCTCTCATCCACATTAATGAGTCTCTTGACAGGGACCATGACTTCTGTGAGGTCTGAGGCCACCTCATCTGTGCCCCTGACCCTTGTAACTCATTACCATGGAGTCATTTCCAACTCTTGATGACCTTGTAGGACAGAGGAAGACAGCAGGCTCATGGGGTTTATGGAAGCTAACTGCCACATCTTTCTCCTGGGGGACTGCTGGTGGGTTTGAACCACCAGTCTTTTAAGTTAACAGATGAAAACAATCACTGTGCCATCAGGCCTCCTTTTTAACCATCCTAGACCTCCCCAGTATGGAAAAGCCCTTTGGGAAAGTACACCAGGCCCTTGGCCATCTCAGACCAGGTATATCTGCTAAGTCCTGGCTGGTTTTATCCATTTATTCAATATTTAGGATGCCGATGGTTAAGTATTTTGCTGTCCCATGCCAACAAGTTTAGGTTTTTGTGGTAAACAGAAAGAACCATCAATTATTTGTCTAATGATTGGTTAGGTGCCTCCTGTATGCTAAGGACGGCAGTAAAGCCAGCAGACATGCTTGAAATCCTCATAGCCTCTAGCCTCGTACAGCTGACTGAGGCATCAGAACAGTGGAAGGGAGGTCGACAAGCCTCTGGGTTCAAATCCAGCAGCCTGTTCTATGGAAGAAAGCTGTCATAGTCGGCTTCTAAAATTCACCGCCTTGAAAAGCCCGATGGCGGCAGTTTATGCTGTCCTGTAGGCCATGAGTCAGACTTGACTCCGCAGCAATGGATTTGATTTATTCACCGTTTATTGAGAAACTACTCTTTGGAGACACTAAGCAGGGCAGAGAACAAAGGCCTCGACTGTAGGGAGGGCTGACATTCAAGATTAACCATGAAGGAATATTCCGTCTGTCTCCTGGAACTTCAAGCAGCTAGTGCTCCAGGTTATGGAGAAAAAGCCTGTAAGGAAATGAAGTGAGAGTCCCCCAGCCCTGGTGGTCAGGGAAGGCCTTCCGAGGAAGTGTCCTTTGCACACTGTCCTGAAGGACAGCTATGGGTCTGTCTGAGTGCCCCCCTGCCAGAGGGATCAGTGAGTGTAAAAGTTCCTGAGACATCACTTTGTGGGATACAAGGCTGGTGGACTGCAGAGTGGTGAGTAAGCAGGGGAAGTGAGGCAGTAAGCGACCGGGGGTGCCCCACACTGGGCCCTGGTGCTTCTTGCACCAGGCTCTGTGAGCCCCTTTCTCACTTGCTGATCTCACCATGGCTCAGGGTTCTAATGGGAACTGGGACTGGCTGCCTGGGAGCTGTGTTCCTGCCTTTGCTAGAGGAGGTGGGGGCAGGAAGTGGGGGCGGAGGCCCAGCTGCTGTCTCCTTCTGCTGCTGAGGGTGAGGGGAATGGGGATGTGAAATGAGGAGGGCAGCTGGCACCCTGTGTCTGCTCTCAACCGCGATGTGCCAAGTGAAAGGACAGGGAGGGGTAAGCTGAAGCCCAGCACCCACCCCTACCCTCAACAGAAGAGAGAGGAGGGAGGAGAGTGGGGGGGAGAGCTGCACTCTTTGACTGCAGTCACCACCTTTGTCCACTTCCAGGCGGAGGAGGGCAGCCCAGGCTCTGCCCATCCTGGGGTGCTGGTAACAGAGGCTGGGGGAAGCCCCCCTCATCACAGTCAGTCCTAAGAGATAAAAGATGTGGAGGATGAGGAAGGCACTGGGTCCCCAGCCCTGCCAAAGGCCGGTGAGAACAGGAAGTGGGCACGGAGAGGCCAGTGGGCCGGCACCAGGTCACACCAGCAAAGATGGCATGGACTCTGCCGGGCACGAACTATGTCCTTAAAAAAAAATAATCTGGATTTGAACCTTAGGCCTGCTCCTTATAGCAAACACGGACGCTACGGGAGGAGGGGCGGGGTCCTTTATAAAAACTTTATTGGGGAGGGTAGAAAATAGGGGTGTCGCCCCTGGAGTTGAATAAATAAATAAATAGAACAAAAGATATGCCCCCACCCCGTACGTCTAGGGGGCGTCCCCGGGCCTGCGGGGAGTGCGCTCAGGCTCAAGCAGACGTCAACTGGATGGCGAAGACCTCGCCCCCCGCGGGCGCATCAGCTGTGCCCTCTGCCTCCGGCCCACTGTCTCCTCCGGGGCCCCCACCGGCGCCGCCGCCCGCACCGTTAAGGCACACGGCCTCGCCCGAGCTCTCGGCCTCCTGCACGTTGTACTCGCCCTTCTTGCAGGCCGTGGACTGTACGTAGAAGGCCAGGCCGGCCCCCGCGGCCAGCAGCACCGCACCGCCCGCCGCGCCACCTATGGCGACCCACAGCCACGGACCTGCGGGGAGAGATCTAGTTGGGGGTCCCCATGCTCGGTCCTCATCCCTTCCACACAACATATAGTAGAGGATGAAGTGGGGCATATCCACAAACACAATCCACCCCAGACCAGTCAACTCCGACTGATTCCAGCAACCCCTGGAGGTGTGCGTCCTCTGTCTCCAACCACTTCCCCAGCCAGCCAATGACAGCACCATACTCAGGGCACCCCTAGCTTCGACCCTGGTCCCGCAGCGACCTGAGAAGGATGTGGCAGGGACAGCTAGGCGGCCAGGCCCCGCCCCACTGCAGATCCCTCGCCACATCCCCAGCTGCCACTCACCGGCCACCCGCACCGTGATGCGCCGCGCGTGGCGCCCATGCGCGTTGGTGGCTGCGCATTCGTACTCCCCACCGTGGCTGCCCAGGGCTCCGGCCACGCTCAAAGTGCTATTGTTGCTCGACAGCCCGATGTTGGAGGCCCCTGGAGGCGCGCGCCAGCTGATCTGGGCTGGAGGCCACGCCTCGGCGCGACAGGTCAGGGTGAAGTTCCCACCAGGCCGCACGCCTCCCGAGGGCGAGGCTGCCAGCTCAGCCACCACCGGCCGGTCTGCGGGGGACAGGGGGCTGGAGGGACAGCTCAGTCGCTGGCCTAGCGTCCTCTTGCCGCCCACCGGAATCCAGTCGGTGACCAGAACATGCCGCCTCCCCACTACACCATGCCATTTCCTTATCCGATTACTCGCTTGCAGTCGGGTCTAGATTCAGTTCCTTTCTCCCCACCAACCAGCAGAAGACGCTTTTGCACAAAATGGGAGCTGGAGACCCGCCCCTTGACCCTGAACCCTGGCCGGGGAGGGCACAGGACTCTAGTTTCCTAGAGGTTTAATTACCCAAAGTTTACTCTGAGAATTCTTATTCTTGAGAATAGGGATGGGAGGTGTCTCAGCTCTGCCTTGGGGAACCCGCCCCCCACCACCGCTGCAAGACCCTAGCTCCATCCACGACTGCTCCAACTCACATTCCACGCCCACAGTGACCATCCGGGCGTCTGTGCCGTGAGCGTTGGTGGCCACGCACCGATAGGTCCCCGCATCCTTTCGGGACACGCGCTGCTTCTCAGGGCGGGGGCTGCCCTCCTTGGAGCAGCGCACCCTTGGGGAGGGGCGACCCCGGGAGGCGCAGGCCAGCGCGGCCGCCTCAGCCCCTTCCAGCCACGTCTGGTTGCTGGGGCAGGTTGACTCATCCATTTGTGGTGGCGCTGCAGAGCAGGCGCGGGAGGGGAGGGGGCGTCAGGGAGGGATCGCGGGTCCCGGCCGTTCCCAACCCCCACCCGCCTGGGCCCCGCTCACACTCCGCGCTCACGGCGACCGTCTTGACCGCGGAGCCGTGCTTGTTCGTAGCGTTGCAGACGTAGATGCCCGGGGCCAGGGCTGTGGGGACGCTGGTGGCTCCGGTAGTAGGAGTTGGGGATGCCAGCGGCAGCAATAGTCCCTCACTGGCACCCCCGGAGCCGACGCACTCCAGGCTTGGCTCTGGCTTCCCGTCAGCCTCACAGGGAAACGGCCGCTCAGACCCTTCCACCCATGTCCAGTTGCTGGGGCAGCTCAGCTCCTCAAACCTGGGGGCATCTGGGGGTCAGCGGTGACACAGGGGCAGGAAGTCAGGCCCAAGGTGGTCCAGACAGACCCCCTTTTCGCCCCCGTGCTGCCCCCACTCACATTCCACTATGACCACCACATTTTTGGCCGCAGAGCCTTGGGAGTTTGTGGCCTCGCAGCGGTAGGTGCCCGCGTGCTCCAGGCCCACGTGCAGCAGCCCCTCCACCATGCGGCTCTCATCCAAGCGCGCACAGCGCACGGCCGGCGGCGGGACCCCTTGCGCCACGCAGCTCAGCGCAGCCTCTGATCCCTCCAGCCACGTAATGCGTTCTGGGCAGCCCACGCTGTCCAGCGCAGGGGCGTCTGTCAGATAGGGAGGGTCTTGTTACGTCTGTTGGTTGCTCCTAAATCCTGTTCCTTCTCCAGGTGATGTTTACTACATAGGGACACCGAGTCACCCAAACCATGGGCTCCTTTCAGGGTTTCATGACCTTTGAAGGATAGATATTTTTCTCTAATTCCTACAAAGTGTCCACAAACCCCATCCAAAGGCTTGGCTATTTCAGGTATTCCAGACCAATATGGACTCCCCTAGCTTCCCTCTGTCCATCTTAAAGGTCTCTCAACTGCTTCCAGTTAATACACCAGCCTTTGCGTATTCCCCAAAGCCTGCACGGATTCCTATCGACAGCGCTCAGACCTAGTTCTTCCTATTCCGGTATGAACTGGCTACCTCCTTAGTCTGAGAACAAGGTAGAGATGGTGGAGTCTGAGAATCCCACTCACATTCCACCATCAGCATCACGTCCTTGACCGCCTTGCCCTGGACGTTGGCCGCCGTGCAGCGGTAGCTGCCCGAGAGAGCGCGCGTGACCGGCCCCAGGAGGCCCAGCGCCAGCACGGCCCCGCCGTCGGACCGCGCGCAGTGCACAGAAGGCGCCGGGTTTCCGCGGGCCTCGCAGCGCAGCGTCTGCTCCGGGCCTTCCGGCCACGTCCAGAGAGCTGGACAGTCCGAATCGTCCAGCCGGGGGGCATCTGTGAGCGAGAAGGGAATGCAGGTCTCACTGTGGATAGTGAAAGGAAAGCACTTGGCTCCACGACACCGCCCGGGAGCCGGCAGGTCCTGGGAAGGGGTTGTGGGACGCCAGGGGCTCAAGGTGAACTCACAGAGGACGCGTAGCCCGGCGCTCTGGTTCTTGCTCAGGGTCTCTCCGTCCACCTCCAGAGCGGCGTGGCAGAAAAAGCTGCGCATATCGTCATACTCTGTGGCGTTTAGCTGGAGCTGGGCAGGCAGCCCCGGGGCCAAGGCTTGAACGTCATCCAGGGTGACCAGGGCTCGGGGCCCAGCGTGGCAGGTAACCGTCACCGGAGTTCCCTCTGGAGCTATGGGCTCGCTCAGGGTTAGGAGGGGTTCGGGGAAGCCTGGGGACAAGATATAGGCGGGGAGGCCACTCGCCACGCCCCTTCTGCTGATCAAACCCACCTCCACAGCCAGAATCCACCTCTTCGTGGAAGGCAGCAAGCCCCACCTCCCGGGGCGCAGAGAGGCTTCGCCCCCTTTGCGCCCCACCTCCTGGAGAGGAGTCAATTCCACCGCGGTTCCTGCCCCCCTTTATGATCTTTCTCTTTATCCCAGCTTCGGACTCCATCTACGGGGTCCTCGTCTCCACCTGTCCCGTCACCCCTTCGGGGGACTCTCGGGCCTCCATCCTTCAATGGAGACTCCGCCCGCCCGCCCCTTCGCTCCCAGCCCCACCCCCACCCTCCTCTAGCCCCGCCCCCGAGCCACAGAGGCTCCCACCCCTCCCCCCCTCTCACTGTAGATGGTCACGTTCTCCCGGGACTCGAGGCTCTCGCCTCCCAGGGTCACATGGCAGACCAGTTTGCTGATGCCCTCCTCCTCTGCCCGCGCCTTGACTATGGTGGTAGCTGTGAGCGCGTCCCCCTCATGCGTGACTTCGGGACTCAGCCTCTGGTCTCCCAGCGCCAGGTAGACCTGGGCTTCAGAGGCTGGGAACAGTCCGTCCAAGGCGCAAGTCACAGGCTCTTCCAAGCCCACCTCCAAAACCCGGGGAGCGGTCAGGCGCGGGGGCTCGGGAGAAAGGGCTAGAGGAAAGATCAAACACCAAACTTGAGCTTTTCAAGTGCTGGGCACTCAATATGCGCTAAGATTGCATGCACTCATTTTCCACGGCAAAATAATGAGGAAGCGTTACTCTCCAGGCATCCAGGCAAACGCTGAAGTTCTTACGCACAGGACAGACCCCAGGTGGTCTCCTCCTCCCCACACCCACTCACAGAATGTCCGGAGCTGTCTGGGGGCAGAGCTGTTTTCAAATAGCCCCAGCCCATGTGGCCGCAGGTCCAGCTCCGCGTGGCATGAGAAATTGGCCTCATGGTCCTCCCTCCTCGCCAGAACGGTAGCCGTGAGCACCGCGCCCCGCGCCCGTGGAGGCTCCCCGGCGAAGCTGCGGCGGATCAGTTCCTGGGTGCCTCGCAGCAGCGTCAGCGTGAGACTAGCACGGGGTCCCGCGCCGGGTACCCTGCAGCTTAGGGTGAAGTTCTCACCCACCGGCTGCCAGCGGGGTAGCGGCACCAGCTCTACGCGATCCGGGCGCTCTGCGAAGGAACAGCGGTTTTTGGAAATGTCTAGGGCTTAGCTGCTCAAACCTTGGACTTGAGCGGGGCGGGGACTAGGAGGGAGAGGAGAGTCTTGGGAACCAGGTGGGGCTTGAAGGCGCTGGCACCGGGACCTGGCAGAGGGGTGAGGAACTGAGGGTCACCGAGCATGAGAACTCACGGAAAGTGCGGATGAGCCCACGCGCCTGCAGTGTGCGCCGCGCACAGCGGAAGAAGCAGACCGGCTGAGTCTCTGGTTCGCGAATGTCCACCAGCTGCCTTGCCAACCAGCGCAGACCCCTCTGGGTCCCGTTCCGGCGCAACGAGGTCTCCAGGCCACCGCGCTCCGGCCGTGGACAGTTAGTACTGCAATTCAGCCACAGCGACCCCCCGCGCTCCACGAGCGCCACGCGGGGCTGCAGGTCCGCCCAGAAAGGCTCCTGAGCGACCGCTGCGCGGGGAAATGCGGGCTCAGCCTGAGGGAGCCCCTTCTTCGGAATCTGAGGGCCCCTAGTTGAGTCATGGGTCCCAGGGGGACGTGCAGAGGCCAAAAGTCCAGACAGAGCCTGGTAATCCCGCGTCTATCCCAGACCTCTCAGATTTGGAGCCTAAACCTTGAGGATGTCTCTGAGGTAAGGGAATGGAAAAGCTCTGGTCTCCAAGGCTCAGATGGGATGGCGGCTGGAGGCGGGTGGGGGGGGCGGGCGGGGGAGGCAGACAGGGTCTCTGGTGCATTGCAACGCTAGGAGGTGGGGACCCTAGTGGGGGGAAGGGGACCGAGCTGGTCTCAGACTTCTAGAGAGAGGGAGACTGAGGTTAGGGCGAGGGCAAAGGAGATAGGAGGCTGGGTCAAGGAAAAGGGAGGACCCCAAATCCTGATGAAGGACGGTCCAAGTCTGGGCACGTGCAAGGGACAGTAGGACGAGCCAAGGGACCTGGTTGCCAGGGCTCCGGGTGGCGCGGGGACAGCGCCTCTGAGTCACAGTAGTCGGATAGATGGGGTTTTTGAGGACCGTGAATAGGGAAGATGACAGCCTGAGGACCATGGTGCCCCACAGAGGTCGAGGTGATACCCTGGGAGGGGACAGGAGAGACATGGGGCCTCCAGGGCGCGAGGCTGGATGAACTAGAACAGCAGGGCACGCGAGGAGCCGGGCAGCAGGGTCTCGGGTGTGTATGGGGGGGGGGGGGAGAGAGATGGAAAGAGGGCAAAAGCATGAGAGCCAGGAGCAGGGCGGAGCCGGGAGGGGCACGCGGCCGCTTCTCAGGTCCGGGAACTCCGCCCTCGCCCTGTCCACCCTAGGCTGGGGCCGGCTCTTACCTGAGAGGCCAAGGAGCCCCAAGCTCAGGGCAGCCCAGAGGCCGAGAAGCGCCCGGCGCAGCCCTGGCCAGGGCCCTGGCATCGCCGCCGCGGGGGAAGCGCAGGAGGCGAGGGGAGCGCCAGCAACGAGCTGGGTTAGAGGACCGCGCGGCGCGGCGGGTGGGGTGTGGGGGAGGCCGAGTTGCGCTCGGGGATTGGCTTAACGTTGGTAACTTGGTTTCCAAGGAGGGGGCGGCAGCAGAGGCGGCGAGGGGCGGGGGGCTGAGCGAGCGCCGGGCTCCGGGCCTTGGTGACGGCGAGCTGGCAGGAGCGAGCGACCTCAGGGGTCTGCAAGGAGGCTCGCCCGAGCGCCCGGAGCCTTCTGGGGGCGGCTGCGCGCTCCCGCGTCATCCCCAGTGGCGATGCGGAGGTGGGAGATGCTGAGTTGCCCTTCTCCAAACCCCTACCTAGGATGTTATGATAATGAGCTGGTCTTTGAGCCCCGCCTCCTTACCTAGTCCTTCCCACCAGCGCCCCTTAGGCGAGGACAGATTTGGGTGCTAAGAGAGGTTTTGGGGAGGCGCAGTATAGGGAAGAGAATTCTAGGAGAGGGCTGCTTCTCCTTTTGACCCAAGGAGAGCTGAGGTTTTTAGCCACATCTTTTAGACCCCCTCACGCTCTCCCAGGCACGCGACAGAGGGGGAGGGGAGGAGAGTGCCAGCGAGCGGGGGACACGTGTGCATGCGCGCAGCGTTCGCGGGCGTCTAAATTAGGGTCGGCTCGGCTCTGGGTCTGTATTTACCCAGCGTGCAGCGGGCACGTGTCTACTCGGCGTGTGTGTGAGCCGAGCGGCCCAGGAGCACCCCTGAATCCGCCTGCTGCGCTGCGGGGTGGAGGGGGGAGCCTTGAACCGCCAGGGCTCTGCCGAGCACCCAGTGTGGACCTTGACTGTGTCCACGCCAGCCTGGGAAGTCAGCTGGAACTCTTTCCACCCCGCAGGCCCCAAGCTTGCCCTAGCCCTATTCGAGAGGGGTATGTGGCCTCCCAGGTGCCCCTGTAGCTCGGTGACTACCAAGACATTGTGATCGAGTCTGTGACACTCCACAGGGACCTCTGAGTCCCACTTCTCGATTGTCACCACATGGGGACCTTCTCTGTGTCTCTCAGTATGTCCATTTGTGCTGTCACCTCCCGTGCTCACCCTGAACTAGATATAGAGCGTAGGATTCTGGCTCTATCCTTGTCCTCTGGGAAAGCCCCGAGGCCTTCCTGGAGGTGGAGTTGAGAAAGGAAACTTAACCAATCAGAGCTGCCGCGTGGCAGGCAGGAAACTGATCAGAGAAAACCCTGCGGTGAACCAGACCGCTCATGACCTGCAGGGCCTGGGCTTCTACCATCTGCCAGGCGCCGATAAGGCCCCAGGAAGGAGCTGTTGTATTTCCCCGGCTGGAGTGCCGAGAAATTGGGGCTCACAGAACACCAGGTAGGCCCCAACGAGAAGACTTTATTGACGTGGATAGGGTTCCCCAAAGTGCGCCACATGTTTGTTTTTCCTTTGGCCCAGTTGTTGTGGACGCCCACCCCCAGTATCCCTTACACCTGGGTATGCATCGCCAGGCACCTGCGCAGATAGGTGGCTCCCACGGCGAGAAGGATCCCCACAAAGGCTGCGATGGAGGTAGAGGACGTGACTTTGGCCCGGGTGTTCCAAACTGTGGGCAGGAGGTGGGAATCAGGAACCGTGCACACCAAGTGAACTCATCCAGTGGGCCTGTGCCCTTTTTGTGGGGTCAGGACCTTCCCTACCCAGGATGACCTCACCGAAGGTGGACAGCGTCAAGGGCGCCGAGCTGCTGCGGACCACCATGCCATCGAGATTGAGGCGCGCGTGGCAGGTGACAGGCTGCCAGAGGTAGCGGACCCGGGAGGGCAGCGCGTAGGTCAGCGTCACGTTGGCCAGATCCAGGCCCGTGAAGCGCTCCAGGCTCTCGGAGTAGATGACCCGGCCGCCGCAGCGCAGGCTCACCACCAGGAAGCCCACGGGGAACACGTGCGTCACGTGGCAGCGCAGCGTGTACTTGCTGCCGGTGAAGACCGGCGGCTCCAGGACCACGCTGTGCGGTCGTTCTAAGACGAGAAGGGGCTGAGCGAGGCCTGCGAGCGCCCCCTAGCGCGACAGCCAACCCGCTTCCAACCCTTAAACCCGTCCCCACCGCGGCCCTTGGACGCTCACTGTAGGCGGTGACTCTGGCCGTGGCCCAGCGCGTTTCCTCCCCGCAGGTGACGAAGCAACCCACGACAGAGCTCCAGGCCGTCACGTCCAGCAGCTGGAAGGACATCCAGCCCGGCCCGCTGAGCGTCTTGCCCTGCTGCAGCTGGGTGTGGAGTCCGGAGCCTTCGGGCAGGGAGCAGTTGCTGCTACAGTTGAGCCACACGGAGCCCCCCGGGCGCACGGCCACCAACTTGGGGCTTAAGCGCACCCAGAAGGGCGCCACTCTGCTGCCCCCGGAGACCTGCGTCTGAGTAGCCCCGCGCTCAGGCGCGCTCCCGCCTCCCGAGTTGGCTGCTGCCAGCAAAAGCAACAGCAAAAGGGGGAGAGGAGACCCCATGGCAAAGAGCCCGAACTGAGGGGGGGCCCCCCGCGCCAGGGAGCCCAGGCTGGCTGGTCAGATAAGGCAGCCAGCAGCCCCGCCTCCGCAGCCCCGCCCAGAGGGCCCAGCAGCCGGTGTCTGAAGCTCCCTTCCCTCCATTTAATGGCATGTCAGACCCTGTTCTAACCCAAATGTCAATGGGCTTTTCGGGAAAAGGGAGTCTTTGGTTTTCCCAAGGGTCCAGAGAGGCTGCAGGATGGCCCAGAATTGGAGCACAACCTTGAACCGAAGCCCCCTCTGGAGGGAGGAAGTGGGAGGGCTTTGGGGGCGTGTCTACAAAGGGTTCCAGCTGGACTAGGACAACTCACACAGGCAGAGACCGGATGAAAAAGCTTTATTACAGGGCGAGGCTTCCAGGTCTGCAGGGCCTCTGAAACCTTGGCCTTTCTCCCCCTGCATGCAAAAGTACAGGAACTGGGCATTTCCAGGAGGCCATGTTTTTCGTGTGGTCCCAGTGAGATGTGGGCGGGTGGGACAGGGCTGGGGCACTCAAGGGATTGGCAGGATTACATAGGACTCCTTGCTTCTTTGAAGGGGCACCCATGTGTTGTAGGCATGGTCACCATATCATTGTGGGCACCGTGCGCTCTGAGAGAAGTGGGTTTCCGTGGGGAGGTGGTGAATAGTAGTCACTGCCAGTGTTGGGGGCGGCAAGAGCTTAATGGGGCGTCCCCGGCATGTCTGCATTGCCAGTCCCCACGGTGCCTTTGTATAAGATAGAAAAGGGGTGACCCTACATAGGAAAAGCCACCTGGCCAACGACGAGAGGGATTCCAGCCTCACTTAGTTGGGTTTTTTTTGCCAGGCACCCTTGTGCAGTGCACTGCCAGTACAACCGTGCCCCTGGTGGCTCTGAATGAGGTTTGCCTAAGAGCTATCGGAGGACAGGAACCTACATCCACCTTGGTCACCATTCCAGCTCACGTAAAAAGTACTCAATAAATAGCTGGTCAAAGAACCAGTCAATAAATAACATCATAATCCAGAGGTGAGGCTAGTCGGTGAGCAGCAGGGCTGGAGCTGGCCTTTCTCCATGGAGGACGCGTGGAGATGAGTCTCACTGCTGCCTGTGTTCTAGCTCGGCCACTTTGTCCTGCAGGCTGTGGGAGGGCCTGAGCATACACAGTGGGAGGCGAGTGTCCTGGTTTCCCGGATGTGCTCTGTGCTGGAGCTCTGGGTCTCCAGACACGCCCCCTCTGGCCCAGGTCTCCACTGTGTGTCCTCACATCTTGCTCCTCTTCTTGGCTCAGTCCTGCGGTTACAGGTTGGGTGGGGAGCCAGTGAGTCTGTGGTGTGCAGCTGCCACGACTCCAAGTCCTGCCTGTGTGCCAGCTGAGGGCCCTCTCCGGCCCTCTGCCATCGGGAGGAGGCTGGTCCGGCTGAGCGGTGTATTTGCAGCACTGTGTCCCATGTGGCGGCTCCGCCACCCTGTAGCGGGGAGCCCAGGAGGTCAGGGTGGCGTGTTCATCTTCATGGCGGCGGCCTCCTGGGCCTTCTGGAGCTTGTACTTCCGGATCTTGCGCTGACGGTTATACAGGTAAGCAGCAACGCCTCCAACGCTTAGAATGGCCACGGTTGTCAGGGTCAGGATGAGGGCCAGGTGGTTGTGGTGGTCTTGGTCTATGGGGTGGACACAGGGAATGGTGAGTGGTGTGGGGTGGGGAGTCAGTGGGGCTGGTGAGGAAATGGTGAGAGGGCAGAGTTAGGCCTCCTTCCCGCCGGGCCCCACATGCCCACTCACTCACACAGCACATTCACGACCACTTGACGAGTGACCTCGCCACGCTCGCTCTCGGCCCTGCAGAGGTAGAAGCCCTGGTGTTCACGCTTGACAGGCTTCAGGTGCCCGATGGGGAGCGGGATGTTGTCTTTTCGGAGACAGGACAGACTCGGAGGTGGGTTTCCCCAGGCCTGGCACTTAAGGATCTGTTCGGAGCCTTCCTCCCAGGTCCAGTTTCCTGGACAGTCCTCTTCATCCAGTCGGGGGCCATCTGGAGAAGAGAACAAGGTGAGGACCTGGGGGGGGTCAGGGGTGCACACAGCCCTCCCCATGGCACTGGCAAGCTTAGGTAGGGGGATCTGGAAGGGGAGGAGGGATGGGAGCAGGCAGCAGCTTATGCATGGGCCCTTAGGGGTTAGCCTCCTCCTCGGGGGTCAGGGGCCACCGTCCTACTCACACAGGACTTGGAGTTCCTCCGTCTGGTTCTTGTGCACTATCTGCCCCTGGACACTCAGGGCAGCGGAGCACAAGAAGCTGCGCCCATTGTCCTCTGCTCTGGCCGTAAACTGGAACTGGACCCTCGACTCCGTGGGCTGGGTTGGTGTTGGGGTCAGGGCTGGTGACCCAACCAGAGTGACCACAGCCTGAGGATGGGCCTCACATACGACTGTCACCACGGTCTCTTCAGTGACCCTTTGCTCGCTCAGTGTCAGGTTGGGCTTTGGGAAGCCTGGGGACAGAGCAAATGGTGAGCCGCGCCCCACTCTCCAGCCCCGGTCCCCAGAAGCTCCCCTTCCGCCCCTTCTTACTGTAGACGGTCACTTGCTCCCTTGTCGCACGGCTCTGGTTCCCCAGCATAACTACACAAACCAGGGTGTGGAAACCCTTGTCCTCGGTGTCCGCTGTGACTTGGGCCGTGGCCTCCAGCGCAGACATATTACGGACAGTCACAGGGTTCAGTTGATGGTCCCCCAAGGCCATGTACACCTGGGCCTCCGACACCGGAAACACTCCATCGAGGGTGCAGGTCACTTTTGACTCTTTGCCCACCTCAAAGATCTGGGGGCTGCTGAGAAGCGGGTCGGTCACTGGCAGGGCTGGGGGTGGGGGACAAAGGTGAGCAGAGTGGACCAGAGAGGCCTGTCCCTCTTTCTTGGGGCATTTGATTCCTCCGCCTAGAAGGTCCTCTTCTCTTGGACACACTGTGGGACACATCACCCCATCCCAGGACATTACCACCCCTTAGCCCGGTCACCGCCTGCTCAAAAGACTTTGTAGTCATGGGCATTTATCCCAGGACATCCCACCCCAGTGGCCACAGGTATGCTCTTCCCAGAAGCCTCTGCAATTCCTGCAGGAGGAGTCCCTCCTACTCAAGAATTCTGCCCCTAGAAAACAAGAACACCCCTAAACTTCCTAAATCCACCCTCTCCATGGGCACCCCACCACCTCACTCACCAAATGTTCGGAGTTGCCTGGAGGCCGAGCTGTTCTCGAAGAGTCCGAGCCCTCGGCTCCGTAAGTCCAGTTCGGTGCGGCAGGTGAAGTTGGCGCCGTGGTCCTCCCTGCGCGCAGGCACCGTGACAGTGACCTCGGCGGGCTTCCTGGCGGGCTCCCCCTCCGTGGACTGCTGGTGCAGCTCCTCCTCCCCGCGAAGCAGCACCACTGTGAGGTTGGCCCGGGGCGCTCCCCCCTCCACCCTGCACCTCAGGGTGAGGTTCTCACCGACCGGCTGCCAGGGGGGCAGGGGCTCCAGCTCCACACGCTCGGGCAACCCTGCGGGGAGTGGAAGATTCGTTAAGCTGGACCCCGCAGGAGAGACCAGGGCCCAGGCCTGCCCCTCCGCTGGCCGCCTCCCCATCCCTGAACCAGGCAGGAATGCAGAGGCGTCTGCAGGCATGTCAAGAGGGCCTGTGGCAGCTGCCTTAAAGGGCTGAATGATCGCTCACAGCTGGCCGTGGGGAATGGAAACTGCTCACTCCTCACCCCACACAAGTGGCACCCAGGGTTCATGCCACACTTGGCAGCCCTAATGAGGCCTCTGCAGGAATGAGGAGAGTTTCAGGGTAACTGGTGAGAGGGCCCCAAGTGTTTGTCATCAGGGTCAGGCATTCCTTAGTCACTGCTGTATCTTTTTTTTTTTTAGATAATTTTTATTTATTCATTCTTTTTATGTGTGTACCGTCAAATTGGATCTGACTGGTACAGGAGGCGATTGTCCCTCCTTCTTCAGCAGAGCATCTGGTGGATTTGAACCGCGCACCTCTGGGATTGCAGTGCAGTTTCCTGCCACTAGAGCTCGCCAGTCACTGCTGTATCTTAATGTGGAAAATGAGGACCAGCCTCAAAGTCTGCCACCAAGGTGGGTTCCGTCAGACATTCACGCACGGAGCCCACCACCCAGTGCCACAGTCAGCTCCCATCCCGGTAGCCACACAGGGCGGAGGGGACAACCGCATAGGGACTCCAGGGCCAGAAGCCTTTTGTGGAAATAGATGGCTGTGTTTTTCTCTTGCTGAGTGGGAGGTAGGTTGGAACTGTCAGCCTCAGTAGCTTAACATTGTACCCACCATGTCACCAAAGTAGAAAATGGCTTCTCCAGGTCCCCGGGGCATTGTTTAAAAGATCCCTGCCTCTCCCTTGCTCTCCCCAGCACCGGGCACCTATGAGAATCCACTCCTATGACCAGCTTCTTTATCTCCTCGGTAGAATGTCACCCACAGAAGGGTCTATTTTGTCCTCTTATGCCCAACACACAGTTGTTGTTGTTGTTGTGTTATGTGCCGTCGAGTCGCTTGCGACTCATAGCGATCCTATGTACAACAGCCCTAAACTCTGCTCTGTCCTGTGCCAATCGCACTGCCTCTGACACACCCATCCCGATTATCCCAGTCACTGAATCAATCCACCTCATAGAGTGCCTTCCCCTCCTGCGCTGTCCCTCCACCCTCCCAAGCATGATGTCCTTCTCCAAGGACCTCCTCACAACATGTCCAAAGTATGTTAGACGGAGCCTCAGAATCCTTGCCTCCAAGGAGCCACCAGGTTTAACCCTTTCCAGGACAAATCTGTTTGTTTTCCTAGCAGTCCATGGTATTCTCTTTATTGTAGAAAGAGGGTGAGTCATTTGCACTGGCCTGAGGTCCACTTAGGAGCCTACTTTTTTTTTTAAAAAAAATGTTACAGAAGCAATTTTTTATTCATTGCAAATACCTTTTTTTCTTTTTATAAATTTTTTATTTAGATGAAAGTTTACAGAGACTTAGGGTTTCCAGTCATTCATTGGTGCAAGGAGCCCCCTTTTAAGAAGGATATATATGACCAAATGAGCAGGTGACCTTTCTGAAGTTTAAAAACATCCCACAGATGCTTAAAGTGAAACTCCATTCCACACAGTCACAGGATTCAAAGCTCCAGTGACCCCGGTGGAAATTTACAAAAGAGCCCTGATCAGCCACATGGAAGACCTTCAGGTTCCCCAAAAAGGGTTCTGGAGGAACCCCACTTCCCACCCCCTTCCTAAGAGGCCCTGAAGTATGAATATACTGCTACAGAAATGTCAGGAGTCAGAGGCCCCAGATAACTAGCCAGCCTTGCTCAAACTATGAATATTAGTGAATATTATGGTATATGTAAATCACACCATAAGAAAGCTGTTAAAAAAAAAGTGAGCTGAAGGCATGTGTTATTGCCTGAACCTCAGTTTCCTGACCTGTAGAATGGGCCTCTTTGAGTTAGGGCTATTATTAATGCACTGCGGAGGTTGAGAGGATAACTGTCAGTGAAGGATGATGGAAAAGACGCTAAAAATCAGGGCGCAGTTCTGGTTGTGTGCACCCCCAAATGCAGTCGATTGTACACTTGAAATAAGTGAATATTATGGTATGGTATGTAAATTACGCCACAAGAAAGCTTCAGGAGGCTGAAGCACTCCTTGGAAGGCTTGCTCAGATTTCTAAGAGCCGGCTAAAGACGTCACTTTGCAGGGGTTGAGGCCCCTTCAATATCAACCCCTGACGGAATCCATCAGCTCCCTGAGCCCAGCTTGCAACCCAAAAGACTTGTTGGCCCAGGGACAAGGAGGAGGGCCTGTCCTCATCTACCCTCCCCTCCCCTCACTCCAGTCCTTCACTAAGTGCCTTGACTTCACTCTTCAAATATTTGCCTCCCTGCACATGACCTGGGCAAAGCTCATGGCCACCTTTTCCCCCCCCCCGGTCTCCTCTTAAGTCCAGCCTTCTGCTTTTCTAGATCCCTGGCCTGGCGCCCACATCCTCCATGGCTCCCCATTACCCTGAGAAGAAGGTCTCAGTTCCTTGGTCTGGCATTCAAGATCCTGCCAACTTTCAGTCGTAGGCCCAGCGGACCTGTTTACGTGCACTCCCTCTTCCTTCCCGTCAGGTTGGGGCCTCACTCTAGGCCTTTGTCCAGGCTGGACCCTCAGCACAGAACTCAGAACTCGCTGACCTCCCAGAACTCGTCCTCACCCTTCAAAGGCTCAGTCACCTCTTTCAGGCATGCCCACTCTAACTTCCCTAGGGAAACACCAGCCACCTGGGACTGTGCCCTCATCTTCAGTTGTTTATTTTGCTTTTTCTTAATTACTTCTTCTCTTCCTCCTCCTCATTGTTATTCTTATTGTGATGTGGTTAATCTTCAGGGGCCTTGTTGTTACTGACCCCCCATGACGAAGGAGAGCTGCCCCTTGGGGTTTTCTGGGCTCCCGCCTTTAGCCTTGGCCTTTAGCCTTTATAGAGCATATGGCCGGGTCTTTCTCACAGAGAGACACAGGGCACTAACTGCAAACTTGTAAGTTAGTCAGCTGAGTGTTTAACCATCGTACCTCAGCACCCAGGGAGGGTGGAGCCAAGCTAAAAGCCTTTCCAAGGAGACCACTCACCCTTGACTCACTGGCTCCCACATGCCAGCCCTCTGATCCTTTGCCCACAGAGCAGGAAACTAAAGTCGAGCTCACAGCCACAGAGAGGGAGGTGGGGGAGCCTGGGTTCAAACCCATCAGGCCGAGAGGCGGACGGTCCTTCTAGAAGGTTTCTGCCCACACGTGGGGTATTTCAGAAGCTACTGGGAATGTTTGGGGACTTCCCTCACTGGAAGGGTGACCAGCATCTATCTGCTCAAACCCCTTTAAATGGAAACAAAGTCAGTATTTGCCCAAGGGCTGTCTCTGCAGTGTTATAGCCACTGAAAAGGTTTCACAGGACAGAGAAGGAAACAAATCGAGAATCTGTACCCACAACGTCATTCAGCAAGTGACAATTCAAACCTGTCTCGGTCCAAGGTCCCTTCCTTCTCTCTCCTCTCCTCTCCCTTCCTTCCCCTCCCCTCTCCTCTCCTCTCTCCCTTTCTTTCTCCTTGCCCTTAGAAACTCCCTCTCATAGTAAAAAAAGCCCCAGAGTAGAAAAAGGTACCGAGGGAAAGTCACCCCCTGCCCTGTCCCCAGCCCTCTCACAGCCAACTAATATTAGGCCACTTAGATTTGCATTCAAGATTCTTCCATATATAACCACAACCTGCACCTCTCACTTCTTGACACAAAAGGGCAGCATCCCACTCGTATCAGCTATACTATAAAAACTCAAAACCAGACCTGTTGCCGTCAAGGCAATTCCAGCTCCTGGCCCACCCTGTGTTTGACAGACCTGAACTGCTCCACAGGCTACTTTTTAGCTATAAACGTTACTGAAGGTTGCCACGCCCTTCTTTTTTGCCATTGGTGGATTCAGCACCTTCCTTTTCTTCTTAGTAATGGTGCACAAACTGCACCACTGGGGGCCAAACTCCTTTTGAACGCCACAAGCCACCCTGGCACCCATTCTCTTTCAGTCCTTAGGGAGATGCCTTATTCTTTCATACAGTTGCATACTGTTCCACTATAAGACAAAACTGCAAATGAGTCCCATGACCTCTACATTCAAGTGTTTTACAAACTGTCACCCTTCTAAACAATGCTGTAGAAACCTGAAACCTAGGCCAGTTCCCTTGTGGGCAACGATATTTGTAAAACTCCTAGGACTGGGTTGCTGTGTCCAAAAGGCACATATTTTTTGTCATTTTTCAGAACTGACACCAACTTCCCCCACCATGGGGATGCGTTTATTTCCACTTCTGCTAGCAATGTTTGAAGAGTGTCTGATCTTGCCCTCCTTTCTAACCACTTGACAATACAACTGTTATTAATTTTTTTAATGGTTGCTAATATGTTAAAAACACCACCTCAGGAGGAGTTTTTAAGTCCTCTTTTTAAGAAGTAGATTCTATTCCACACACCCATGTTTATTGCGGCTTTGTTCACAATAGCAAAGAGCTGGAAACAACCCAAGTGCTCATCAACAAATGAATGGATAGAGAAGCTGTGGTATATTCACACAATGGAATACTATGCAGCAATGAAAAACAAGGAACTCATGAAATACTATGCAAAATGTGTGACCCTGGAGGACATTATGTTGAGTTAAATATCTCAGTCACAAAAGGACAAATATTGCATCGGGACACTGTTGTAAAATGGGACTAACACTGGGGTTGAGGGAAGACAGAGAAGGAGGGGAGGAATGATGTATATTGCATTGAAACAGATGAGGGAGAGAACTGTTTAAAAGGGACATATAAATGGGTATTCTTGTCATTACAGAAGTCCAGAGTGAAGGCCGCATTATGGAGTAGACTTGGGGGGAGGGATTGCATAACAATGAAAGAGTTTTGTTTTTATTTTGCTTTTCAAGAAGAATGAATTGAGAGGGGAGGGATGGGTAGGGAGAAAAGTGCAACAGTGAATGACTGGAAACCCTAAGTCTCTGTAAACCTTCATTAAAATTAATTTAAAAAATAATTTAAAAAAAAAGTCAGTTGAATGGGGAAGTAGAAAAAAGTAGATCCTATTCCAAATTCCTGTCTATGTCCCCCACATACTCAAGGAGGTTCAAAGAGGGCCTTCTGAGTGACAATGAGAGTTTTCCAAGGATAGCCTATGTACCCTGAGCAGTACCCTCCCCAGGCTCTGTGCACCCTCTCTCCAGTGGGCCCAGGCCAGCCTCCAGGGTCCCCACTCACCGTACACAGTGAGGACAGTTGAAGCTGTTGCCTGGACACCACCACAGGAGCTATGGCAAAGAAGGCTGTTGTCTTCTGACACGTCCTTCAGCCTAAAAATTTTCCACTTGTCTCCATAATCCACTTCTTCCTTTGTCAACTGGGTTTCCAGGCCCAACTGGGTGGGCTTGTCACAGCTGGTGCTGCAATTCACCACCATGGAGCCCCCTTGGGGCAAGATGGGGTCTTGGGGGTGTATGAACACTTGGGCATCTCCAGAGTCTGCAAAGAAAGGATGGTTTGACTCTGAGGAGGCGGCAGGGATTTGAATGTGGGGCCTACTGTGTGGCCAGACCTTGCCTTGCTGGGTGCTGGACCTGACCTCCAAGTCCAAACTCCCTGCCTTGGCTGTGGGAGAGAGGTTCCTGGCCCAAATAAGATAATTCATTACGGATGCGGGGAAGAGCTTCGGGAGCTCCAGTGGTCTAACAGTAAGAAGCAGGACTGCAATGCCAGAGGCACACAGCGAGAGTCCACTAAGTGCTCTGTGCGAGGGGCAATCTCCTCCCGTGCAATTTACTGCCTCTGAACACCCGCTGGAGGATCACCTAGGGGTCAATTCCGACTCGTCAGCCCACAATAACAATAAGAGCTTGGACACAAACAAAACAGGGTGATGGAAAACACAATGCCTTGGTGACCATGATATATGTCCAGTAAGGAGCCAGCTATCCTGGGGAAAGGGAAGTGAGTTCCAGGCTCCTAGGGAGGGTGGCTGCAGGGCGCGTGTGCGTGGGCGGGAATGCACTCCCAGAGATCATGTGGTGGCTTCTCTATTTTGATGGCAAAAGGGAGCAGGGCAGCATTTCAGCACAAAAGGGCCAGTCAACATCGTCCCCCATCCAGGGAGGCTATGAGCAGGAGGGTCAGCTCTCCAGGACAGGTTGGGCCAGGACGCGCCAGCCTGACCAAAGCCCAGCAGACCAGCGTTCAAATCACTTGTCTCCTCACTTCCTTGGCAACTGGTGTCCCTGCTCTGGGCCTCAGTCTTCCTGTCTGTAAGGCAGATGAAACATCACCTCGCCAGGGGAGGGGCAAAGGGTTGTGGCTCCTTGGGACTAGGGAGGGTTTGCAGAGCTGGGAGGCTTCGCTTGGGAGAATCTAAAGCTGGCTCTGCATCCCGGCCCGGGCCCCAAGAGAGCCTTTAAGCCTCGAGCCTACTCCAGGGGCTAGGAATTCAAGTCTCACCAGGAAAACGGATAAGACTCAGACGGAGTAAATTATTCAGCTGGAAAAGCATAGAGTCTCTGCTCAAAGCCTTGGCCCGAGAGGCCTCTGTCTGAAGCTGTTAACCACTGCCGGCAGGTGGCCACTCCCCTGTGGCCCATCCTCCCTCCCTAACCAGATGGGGGAGGCAGCGGGCTCCTTGACCTCCCAAGTCAGGCCCCTGGGCAAGGCAGCTCTGGAATTCCCCTGAGGAGAAGCGAAGCTGGACTTCCCCTGGGGGATAGTGGATGAGGAACAAAATGGAGGGTCCACTTGGGTCTAGACGGCCACGTGTCCATCTCAAACTGGAGGAGGCACTACGTTCGGTCAGGCAAACCCTGTGAAATGGCCCCTAAAATACTTTCCCCCTTTTAGACGGAGAAAACTCAGCCTCATCAGGGCGCCGCTGGACCCCGAAGGTGAGGCCGGTTGAGCATTTGAACTCACCATGGACTTTCCATCTCCCGACTCCAGCCCTCCCAGACAGCCGCTATCTAAGCACTGAAGGGCGGGGAGCCAGTCCTGCCACTGCGCCCAGGGCGCAGCCCAGACTTGCGGACCTGGTCCGATGGCCACCTGCACCCCGACTCACCTGTGAGCAGAGCCCCAAACAGTGCCAGGAGTGCGGCCAGCGCGCGGTGGGCGCCACGGGGAGCCATCGCCGGCGGGGAGACAGAGAGAGGTCCTGAACGCACGGGAGCAGGGCGCGGACTGGGGCGCAGAGCTTTGCGCGCGGTGCCTTTTATAGAGCCGGGCAGCTGGGGGCTGGGGGGCGGTGCTGCCTTCCCGGAAACCTCGCGCCTTCTCCCCCTCCTGACCCCGGGCTCTGGCATTTCCGGGTTGAGAAGGTGCCCAGCTCGTAGGGTCGTCCTCCCTGCTGGCCGTCCGAGCACCGGAATTTCCAAGCTGAAGCAATGAGGGCGGCGGCAGGACGGCGGCGCCTGGGGGCTGCCCCGGCCTCCAGGGGTCCCGCCCCGCGCCCGGGCTCTCCAGGATGCAGCCTTTACCCCGCGCTCAACGCTCACTCCGGTCCCTCCAGCCTTGCTGGAGTATGGGGACTGTTACTGTGTCTGTTTTACAGATGGGCAAACTGAGGCGCTGAGCTGTGGAGGGGATTGGAGCCCAGATCTACCTGCCCAGCTCGTGCACCCCTTTTACCTAGCGGACGAACCCAGGAATCCTCCATTCAAGGGTGCCCTTCCCCCAAGGGGCAAGTCCGGGCTAGACCTGCGCGGCTGACACCGAAATTCTCAAGAAGCGACCTCGGCAGCTCCAAGCCCCTTGAGGCATCTAGAGAAGGGGGTGTCGGTGTCTCCCTCCCCCCCATGGGAGCTTCCACCTCCGCTTGTTTCGCTTCCCCTTTCAGTCTGGCCGCGGGGGCGTCTTTACAGCTCCCAGAAAAAGGAAGGAAGCTGCGTGAGTCTCATGCTGGAGCCCCTTTGCTCGCACCGCGTCACAGGCTGGGGAAACTGAGGCTGCAGCTCAGCTCTTGACGCAGAAGGCAAGAAGGGGGCTCGAACCTTTGCCGTAGGCAGGAATCGGAGGCCTCTCCTGGGCCCCAAGCTGGGTGCAAATGGGGGACGCGCTCAAGCGCCTGCCGGAGGCGCGCGCGGCTCCAGGAACTGGAACCCCAACCGTGTGTGCGCTAAACATGTGCTGAAATAGTGGATACAGCCAGTGTTTACCTGGACTGGTTCCAGGGGGACATTTTGAAACTGGGGTGTGTCTACAGGGCTCAAGGACCCAGCCCCAGAGCGAGGAGGTGAATCATCAGGCATGGGCCAGGCCAGCGCGTGTCCAGGCTGCATGCGCCACGTCCAGGCTGGGGACCCCCGGATCTCCGAGCGCCGAGCAGCGCCGCCCAAGGCTTCCTGTTTAGGGGCACGCGCGGCGTCGCCATGGAGATCTCGGAGCGGTCAGGGAGGTCGCGCAGCAGAAGGGGAAGAGGGAGCCCTGGGGACGCGCCAGCCCTTCCTCCGGGTTTGGGGGGCCGCGAGTCACTCGCCGTTCACCAACGCGTACCTCCCTCCCGCCCGGGTTATTCCCAAGGAATTTCCACGGGGTTCTTTGTGCTTGTAGATTTTGGGGGTGCTGAATGACCGCTCCGGAACGGGCTGGATCAAGGGACAGAGGAGATCTGGGAGGTCCCCGCGCGCTCTGGGAAAATCCTGCGCGGAGTTTTCCGGAGGATTTTTTCCTCGGGCTCGTTTCTCCCGGGGCCGGAGTCGCGGCCAGAAGTGGGCGTGCCTCGAGCGCCCCCTGGCGGCACAAATCCCACGTGCAGCCACCGCGTTTGTTAAGTACTTTAACCAACTTCGCGCCCTCTGAGCTCGGTGGTCTAGTGGTAATGAACTGTGCTGCTAACACAGAGACCCGCGGTTTGAACCCACCAGCTGTTCCATAGAAGAAAGATAAATTTCTCCCATGCGATTAACTGCCTCTGAAAGCTCGCTGGAGGGTCAGCTATGAGTTGACCCTGACTTACACAACAACGGTGGGCATTCTGGTGACCTTGTCCTAAGGTGAGTTGTGCTGTTAAATCACAGGTTGTGTTTCTCTAGTGTCTGGAATCCACCAGCCTTTCCCAGGAAGGAAGACAGGCAATGACCTTCCGTGGGATTTACAGCCTCTGAATCCGGAACCTCCAGCCCTCTAGACATCACCCTGATTTACAGCCTCTGAATCCTGAACCTCCAGCCCTGTAGACATCGCCCTGATTTACAGCCTCTGAATCCTGAACCTCCAGCCCTGTAGACATCGCCCTGATTTACAGCCTCTGAATCCTGAACCTCCAGCCCTGTAGTCATCACCCTGATTTACAGCCTCGGAATCCTGAACCTCCAGCCCTCTAGACATCATCCTGATTTACAGCCTCAGGATCCTGCTGGAGCAGCAGTCTCAGAAGAAGCTAGCTGATTCCTGTGCACTAGGATCCAAGATGATACAGTGAGTTAATCTCTGGGCTGCTAAGTGAAATGTCAGCACTTCAAATCTAACATCCACGTCACAGGGAAACCTTGTCTGCCGTTCACTCGGCCCTGCAGTGACGTTGGGAGTTAGACTCATTGATAATGGGCTTGATTTTTCTTTGTGCACCACAGGAGCCCCAGTGATGCGGTGGCTAAATATCCACCTATTAACAGAGAGGTTGTGGGATCAAGTCCACCAGTGGCTCCCCAGGAGAAAGATGTGGCAGTCAGCTGTCATAAAAAAATGTGTTACCACCAGGGCCTGTCAAGTTTGTGCCTCCCCCAGAACCACTCCCACATACAACAGCACAAAACCCTGGCCACACCTGCACCAAGGTCAAGGTGTGTGAGCCCGTTGGTCCAGCCACTGTCTGTCCATCTCACTGATGGTCATGGTTTCCTTCTCCAGGAAATTACTCCGCTCGATAATAAGTACATAGTGTGCGAGGCGAAGGCTTGTCACCTTCACAGCGAAGGCACATTCTTCAGGTCTTTCTTCCAAGACAGATTTCTTCATTCTCTGGACGCTGTTGTTGTTGTTGCTGCTGCTGTTGTTAGGGGCTGTTGAGTCAACTCTGACTCCTAGTGGCCTCACTTCCAGCTGCCTGTACCACGAGCCTGACCCTTTGTCAGCCTGTCTCACCTGATCTCAAGGGCGTTTTTTACAATCTTTCTCTCTTACTGATCTTCTACTTCTCCAAGCATGATGTCTCCCTCCGGGGACTGGCCCCTTCTGATGAACATACCCAGATTATGTGAAACAAAGTCTTAAGCATTCTTGCTTTTAAGGAACACCCCGGGACTTCTTCCCAGACAGATTTGCTTGAGCTTTTGGTTTTGGGGGCTTTTGGAGTTTTTTGTCATGTATGTTGGAAATTTTTATGGTATACGTTGGTATATTCAGTACTTTTCTCCAACACCACAATTCAAAGGCACCACTTTGTTTTCGGTCATCCTTACTCTTTGTCCAATTTTCACAAACATTTGAAGGTATGGAAAACACCATGGCATGAATCAGATATAGTCTAGTCTTGAAACGGAAATCCTTGCTTTTTGACTCTTTATTTAGCTTTATTATTAACTATTATTATTATTAATTTTGATGAAAATTTACAGACTTTGGATTTCCATTCATTCATTGTTGCTCGTTTCTCCCTGCCCATCCCTCCCCCCAATTCACTCTTCTCTTT